GCGATGCACTTGTTACTAGTAGCTTCTTGTTACTACTAGTAAGGCACCTTGCTCCTGTGCAGATTCACAGAACATAGTGAGTCCTGAAGGAACCCGAAGAATCGTGCATCGGGTTCCACGAACAACCCACGAATCGTGGGAGAACCTGAACAGCCCACAACATGGACCCGTAGATGAGAACTCCCTGAGTGACTTACCAATGTGAATTATCAATCAGATCTCGTTTAAAACATGCAAGATTAAAAGCAATTGAACAAAAACACCTATATTCTTGCTCCTACCGACTGACATGAGACAGTTTGGGAGACTTGTTCAACCTTCCACAGTCTTCAAGCTGACTGTTGTCCATTCTCAAAGCTACATACTCCCTCCAAACGCAATGAAGCTGGGAGTGGACCTAAAAAACACTAACACACATGCACTTTGTCCAAAAAAAACATAACATATATATAATTTAATATCATGATCTTCCAGAAGATCCAATCCAGGGGTGTCCACCTTTCGCCTTCGTGTTGGCGGACCCACATCGGACCCGGCACCGTCCGCTCCTGCTTGAGCTCCAAGTTTTCACCCCGCAAGGCCTGAAGCGGTCTCTTCGTCGAGATGGGATGGAAGGGAGACCAATAGCTGAAGAAATAAGATGGTAACATGCTGCTAAGGACAAAAGATCTTGAAAAAAATCATGAGTTCTTGATGCTAGGATTTCTGTTGATAGAAACAACAAGAAGCTCGCAAAGTCGCAAGACCTATCAAGCAGATCCATGGACCTCCATCACATAACAGTGATTCACAACAGGCTGAGCCCCAGGCACACTGCGCCTCCCGCAAGGCTTTCAGCCTCAAACACACAAGGAGGCCCCCTTTCAACGCTCCAGGGTGCTGGAAAAGCCGAAGTACTGGTGTCGTCGGACGCCCGGACGGATCGTAGATGACTGTCACCATGGAAGTCGGTTTGGGGCTTTTGGAAGGGTTTGTTGTCCTCTACTGACGTCCATGTTAGCTTTTTGGGTGCACAGTTCAGGTAGCGTCCCACCGCCGACCTCTGGCCGCATTTGACGAGACTGTGACTCGGCCGCGTCCAACGCGTCACGCGTTTTGGGGTGTACAGTGTATCCTCAAGCTCGAGACGAGCTCAGACCCCCTTGGAGTTGGTCCGATCATGACCCCAATCTTCACCATGACCCTCTGAGTTCTCAAAAGAACGGCCATGGGTATGGGTGTTTGGGATGCCTGTCACCCTCCCAAAAAAGGGGATGATTTCTTCGAGTCTTTCATCGAGAGCTCTCACATCATTTCTATTTTTGAGTCTCTCATGGTGAAGATAAAACTCATAGCGATGGCCTCCAAGCTACTAGCGATGGCCTCCAAGCTACTAGCGATGGCCTCCAAACTAATGGCAATGGCCTCCAAGCTACTAGCGATGGCCTCCAAGCTACTAGCAATGGCCTCCAAGGCCTCCAACCTAACAGCAATGGCCTCCAACCTAATAGCAATGGCCTCCAATCCAACCCTATAGGAGAAAGAAATAGTATTAAGCCCGAGTTGCCGCTTTCTACATCTGAGTCTAAAACTTCCGGCCCCGCCCGATCCGTCCAAGTGGCTGCGACTCGCCCTGCTCCCGCTCCCCATCCAGGACCTTGAAACATGAGGTGGCCAAAACGAAAACGTCTGGGCAATGGGAAACTTCTGGAAGATCCCAGCATATATCATATCATGACATGTCCCACATCTCCCATAGTTTAGTACACTTCACAACAGGAATGAGTGGCAAGTGCGAGAGAGGAACTGCGAAGTATTGTGGGTATGTCAAGATTGTTGCTCACCAAACCAGGATGGTCATATATAATGTCGCTTTGTACTGTACATGGACCCACATCGTCTCGAATGCAGCATTTTTCCAGGCGTTCTCCCGGTCCTAGTGAGAGAAGGTTCCAAACTTAAAGACTGAATCGAATCCTTCAAGTGATTCGGCTGTCCATCTCAACAGTTTGAGAATTGATCAGGTCTTGAAGTCTAAAACTCTTCACCATGTCAGCAGGTTGCCGTCCCATTGCTGTCCGAGGAAAAATCACCCGTTCACAGCCTTGACCCATATAAAACTCGCCCAATCTGAGCATCGTCTGCTTCGCGCGAGCGCCGCGGGGGAGGTATGGTGACCTCCAAAACGGTGTCGCTCTCCGACGCCCGCGATACGACCCGCCGGCCCGGCGCCGCCTTTTGGGGACAGCTTCCCCTTGGTGGGGCGGACGCACCGTGCCCCTTGGGAGGCCGGACTGGTGTAGATTTCATCTTCACCATGGTCTGTGACTTCAGCCTGGGACAGAAAGACTGGGAGATCTTTTGTACAAAAAGGGGAGGACATCTGGGCGACAGCACCTGCGAGCCATCCAAAAACATACCATACGCATCCATACGTCATGGAGTGAGTCTTTTGGTGTTCTTTGTCTGGTGCAGTCTTGGACTATTAGGATATTTTTGGATTTATTGGATGCTGCAACATACCGGATGTTTTTGCTCACCCAACTCACTTCATGCAATGCATACAATGCACGAGATAAACTCCTGCACGGAATCCATGATGCACAGTGCATCTGGGGGCGACTTCGGTGCGACGTGCTTTGCAATAAATAAACGTCCACTCAGTGTCAAGACATGCGCAGAAAAGTACAGAACATCTACAACTGCAAAGTAATTTTGCTTATCTGCTCAGCCATTGCTTGTCTGCTCACTCAGAAAAACATCGGACTTCGGTCCGTTTTGACATCCCACCGGGACAATCCATCTGAGTGGGTGTTGGCTCATGTGCTTGTTGTCGTGTGTGTGTTATTCTTTAGCACCGGGAAGGGACTCTTTGGTGGTCAACATGTGGCGGTGGGTCAAAAACCCCGGAACCTTGGTTGACCTCGTCAAAATGAACAAATGACACATGTTCGGGAGGTCTACCTCCCATGGTTTGTAGGGTACTGCTTTTGACCCAGAAAGGCTGGTCGTGTGTGCTTCTAGTCGCCGTACCACCCCGCACACCCTGGCGGTGTGAAGATCGACACTTCGTCTCTGGTTGTTGAGTCCCCCAACCATTCTTCTGAGCACGTGAAGAGTCAATACATCAAATCATCCATACTTAGTCTTTGTATGATAGTATCATTCCCCCAATGCTACCCCACACAACCATTATAAGCACTCACAAAGCGTTTTCACGCCAAAAGCCCCGAGGGAGATCTCTCCCCGTCGCGAGAGCGACGGTGGGTGGTGGGCAATTCTTACGTGACCCACCTTCCGCCATGTTGAGAGTCTGAGCAGCTGAGAGTCTGAGATCAGCTGGATCTGTGAATGGAGAGTAGATGGCACAATCCCCAAAAGGATGTTAATAGAGACCCCCATCTCAAAGGCAGTGAAGGGTTTGTACCAAATTTACTCTAAAACCACTGTTTTCTTTTTGCACCCTTCTATCACTGGCGGACATCATCTCGCGACAATCGGTCTTGAACCCTCCAAAGTGTTTCATCGCAATCGACCAAGTGGGTACTTGGCCACATCTTCTACCATCTCGTCGTACCATGTTGTAGCAATTGGATGGGACCAATGGATTACCAACACTTCAACTCCAAACTCGACAAGGCTCGGCCGCTTCCGTGGGGAGCTGCTTGGGTCCGGCCTTGCGCACAGCGTGATAGTCGAGCGTGGCGTCCAAAAAAAATGCAAGAATAACTCACTGGAAAAAAAAGGGAGGGAAATCTCATCCACAAGAATCAAACAGAAATCTCGGAGGCTTGTGTGTTCAAAAAGCAACATTCTCGAATGTGAGTATGCATCTATCCCCCAAAAGACTAGAGCAGTATCTCCAATGTCTCCTTCCTCACCGGTACCTGAGGTTCGGTACGAAAACGGATCCCTGTCGGGTCGACCGACGACCCTGACACATCTGAACGTCCGAGCCAAACCCGTTCTGCGACAACGAAGAGGAAGCGAAAGAAAAGGAAGGGAGCGACCGGACTGGTGGATGTGTCCAAGATAAAAGGGCTGAACTTGATCATGGTGCAGACTCTTTGGCATACAAGTATGGGGTCCAAAAAAGAAACACGCTCAATGCATCCATCGAAGCACATCCGACGTCAATGCAGTCATCAATCGGAAGTGGATGGCATGGCCGCGAGTTCCGATACAAGTAAGTGGTTCATTCACATCAACCTGCAGGTAGAACATCCGTCGTACACAAGAAGGATGGCTCCCACAAAAGCACGCGTTCCGTCAACCTCTCTTCGAGGAGAGTAGTTGCACGGTGGCTATCACATTAGCACGTTCAAGTACATGATTCCTAACAATCGTGATACAATTATATATAATCATATATATACAGTGGTTTCAGAGTAGATGGCACAGACCTCAAAATGTCCTTTACATGGGGGTTCATATAAACCACCTCTTGGGGTCTATGCCATCTACTCTGAAACCACTGTATATATGCATATCCTTTTTAGAGAATGTGTGTTTTGGATCCAACACGGTTCCATGACCGTGCCAAGAACAATGACGCTCGATGGCTTGAAGCAGGAAATCTGACCTTCCTTTTCTCCCACTGCTCCCTGAAGTTCCATTCAGCATTCCAACTTGCATGCTTGAAACTGAAATCTTCTCTTGGCCAAGGCCAACTGCTGAATACAAACACTTCTACCATCCCATCAATGACCAAACAAACAAATCTAAATATATTTCATCATAAATTACAGTTGCTTATATAAATGATTCTAACTTAAACCACCTTACCGATCATCGCCACCAATGAAACTTCCAGCCCATGCAGGAAGACCATTATCCAATTGGATCACCTATCATATCCTATATTATAGCACTGCGTAACTACAATTTTCTGGTCACCATCATGGTGACATATGTTGGTGACCATATATTGAGTGATAGCATCGTGTCAAATGTGGTCAAATTCTGGAACTCCACGGTCGACTTGTGAACAAGCACCAAGAAAACTGCACGTTCGCATTTCATCACACGATCAATTCATGCGTTGATGAACACAACAAGTGCATCCCTAGTAGTAACAAGTGCCTTACTGGTAGTAACAAGAAGCTAGTAAGGCACTAATTCTACTGAAATTCAACAACCAAAATACAATTCATGCGTTTCTTCGGTCCCCATGACGTCCCATGATGTCCTCCAAGACTCACCAATCTCTCTGCTGCTCCGTTCTTGTTTGGCCCAGCTGCTCCGTTCCCATTCCGCGCTCGTTGGCCTCGTGAAGCGCCTTGGACAAAAGATCGACGGGCTTGGTCCGGAAGCCGTCCCGCCCACCAGTCCGTTGTTGTTTATCTTTTAATCACACCATATATTGCACGATATATTTACTATTATTTACTCAACATATATTACATGTCATGACTTGTTGATGTCAGGTGATTCTTTTTCAATTGCATCACAGAATCAGGAGTCAAATGGAGCTTGTTAATAAGTAGTGTTCATGAATTGAGACAAGAAGTGGCCGGAAAGCTGTTTGTTTCAGCTCATCTGCGGCGTGTTCGAAGGGACTTTGGAGCTTCCGATGTGACGCGACATTCGAGAATAGGGCCGGACGAAGGTGAATTTGGAATACAAATGCAAGAATCAGAAGAACATTTCATCTACAACTGCTTTTCTTCTACAACAGTAATAGAACAACGGAACAAGAACAACCACAATCACAACGATGATCGCCACCACCACACAACAACGAACACAACAATGTCAACTTTAATCCCAACATGGGGGTCTGGCAGGTAGCATCAAATGTGTCCTTCAGTCACTTGTTCAGATACCACCGCCTTAGGTTGCGAGTTAGTCATGCAGGAATGTTGCATCTGTATTCAAGTTAAACATAATTACAACCTGTATACTAAATATACTTTCTGGGATTCATGATGATTCATGTGTTGATTTTGTTGTGTTTGTCATTGTGCGGTGGTCATAGTCATTCAGTTGATTGTTCTTGAATCCAATATGAACCCTAAATTCTGTAGGACCCCCTGATGTGATAGAGTGTGATGTGCCTGGTTACTATAAATGATTTCTCTAACCAATAGCCAGTGCAAGAAAGAGGATTCAGGCCATTCTCTCCCAGCAAGAATTCACTTTTTGGGCCTTGGCTGAGTATGCCCACTTGGCCTTTGGCCTACTTGGCCCAGGCCCGGCGCTCCACCTCCACTGGGCCCGTCTACGGGCGTGGACTTCATCTTGACCATCGCTGACTTGGTCCTTGGAGACACCGGTGGACAGTGCTGCTCACGGACCCTACCAGATGAGTAGACCACTCCAGTGCCACAAGTCACTGGAACTGATACAAAAGGAGGCTCCGACATGGCAAGCTCTGTTTCTGGCGCCATTGTCCCTTTTTTTGGACTGGGGTTCTTCATTCGTATCACCTCAAGCAAGCTGCAAAAAGGATCAAAAAGGCCACATACATTGACAATCACTGCCATACACCAGGATCACGTGTCTCGGAAGACCAACACCCATGGTCCCAGGAAGGTCTTTGTTCCGTTTGTTCAAACACAAAGCTCTCTCAACCTCCCCACCCAAGCGCTCCCTGAAAAAATAAACAAACAAACTCTCAGAACAAACCCACCGGGCCACCTGATGTGACAGGCATGACGCTACCGGCTACTCCGCGGGACGCGAATGGTGGATCCTGGATCTGCGAGCAGTCGAAACATCCAACATCCAACTAATGTTGGATCTGAACTTGCATAAGACGGCCTCCCCCCTTAGCATAACGGCCTTCAGGGGGTCTGAAGAGTTTCAATTATACTAACTTATTAGGATGCAACATTACCATCCTGGCAGGGGGAATCCTTGTTGACCTTGCCAAGGCTCGTCCGCGAGCGCCGCGGGGAGCTACTCTGACGTTCTCCGCCACCTCAGGACGTTCGGACCCTCAGGACGTTTGGACCCAGACCGCATGGAGTGGGGTGCAACCATGAATGTGTGATATATAAAAAACCGGTGAGTCAGCGGCGGAACCGATATTGATTTCTGGTTGGTGTTTTCAGCCCACTTGAAAAAATATTAGTCAGAGGGGGGTGAAGTATCAAAAACAATTATTTACCGCATCAAAAACATATTATTCGAGGGGATCAATTAAAACTTACTTAATCAAAAAAGCTATTCTGCCACGAGCTCTCTGGGATGGAGCGGATTTCTTATTAGTACCTAGCTAATTACAGCAATTTCGTGTCCTTAGCAGAGACACAGGTGTCGTAGCTGGCCCAATACATTAGAATAGTGCAGGTTTCATATTAGTTGCTAGTTGATTAGACTAATTCGGGAGCTGTCGTAGCTGGCAAAATACATTGGAATAGTGTAGGTGTGAGAGAAATTCCTACCTATCACAATAGTTTGGTGCAGTTAGCAGAGAAACAGCAAAGAGAAAGAGAACTAGCACAGGAGGCGTATTTGGTTGGTTAGAAGCTTTTGCACCGGGGAGTTCACCTTAAAATATTGATTTCGTGGCAGGCGCGGGTGTCGGAGATGAAGTGCAGATTTCGTGGCGCGGGGGGGGTTGGGGGGGGCGCAGCGCCCCCGCCAGCAGCACACCAGATCCAAAGGTGAGCAGCTCGTGCTTGCTTGCTTGCTTTCTTGTTTGGTTTCTTCTCTGCAAAGCAAAAAAAGGGAAACGCAAAAACAAAAAGAGAAAGGAAGAAAGGAGAACAGCTGCCAAAGCAGAAAAGCAACAAAAGCAAAGAGCAGAAAGACAAAAACACAAAAAGCAGAAAAGCAACAAAAGCCAAAATGCAGCAGAAGCAGAAAAGCAGCAAAAGCAGAAAAGCAACAAAAGCAAAAAACAGCAAAATCAGAATCAAAAACATACAAAAACAAACCCGGAAAAAAAAGCACCTCCATTAACCTGGTTGATGGTTCTTTTGTTTATTGTTGTTGTTGTTGTTGTTGTTTAATTCTATTCTTCATTTTCCTTGTGGTCCTTCCTTTGTTACGTTGTTTCTTCCTGCCTTCTTCTGTCCATGCTTCCTTGCCTCCTGGCTGCCTTGCTTCCATCCTTCCTGCCTTCCTCACTTCCTACCTTGATCCCTTCTTTCCTTCCTTCCCTTCCCTTCGACCAGGGGACCAGGGACCAAGCGGACCAGGGGACCAAGGGGACCAGGGGACCAAGGGGAACAGGGGACCAAGGGGACCAGGACGACCATGTGGACCAGGAGCAAGCATAAAAGAGACGGGTTTGTTGATTAGTTAATTAATTTGTTTTTGATTACGTAATTATGTTGTTGATTCAGTAATTAATCTATTTTTGATACACATGCCGTCAGAGGGCCCAATCATCCCAAGTAAGGGTTGAACATAAACATATCCGAAACCATCACCTAGTTTTTCATTACAAAACTCACATATACATGATTTACAAACAATATATTGGGGGCTTTTCTTGTTTAGACTACTTTGCTAGCAAATCACAGTATCTCGTTCGGACTACTTTAAGATGTCAGCAAAAAGACATATGTCGTTTATGTGGGGGCCCTATCTCGTTTGCCAGTGAATGACAAAAATAGAGCATGCTAAAGTTAGACTACTTTAGTGAAGAATTAATAAAGATTGAATAAACGTGTTGCTCAGGTACTTATTTAATCTTGTTTAATGTTCAAGGTCCAGGTCGGTAGATGTGTGAAAGAGGGATTGGACGATTGGAACATTTGTTGGATTTCAAGCACTCCACAAGGAATTCAATTCAGCAGGATCGAGAGTGATGGAACAACTCATTAAAAACCTTGTTTCTTAAGACTGTGAAAACACTTGGTCCAATCCTCATGGGATGCAAACAAATAGACCTTCCTTCTTTCACAGCCAAAGCGGTCAAAAACGATACCCAACACATGAGGCCATGGCGGCGCGTGTTCGTGCGAGACCCAGAACCAACGAAATTCATCTCGCTCGTGCGAAGGAAAACAAACAAAGCCCCTCAAGGCGTCCAATTGCTCTGTTTCAGACATGGGTGCAAAACAAAGAATAGGGGGAGACCAGGAGACCCCTCAAAAACGACCTCAGGGAGAATCAACATAGACTAAATCCATGTTATAGATTGTAAATTGGGAGGTCTCTAACTATAAAATACCAACTCACAATGTCAAGGCACCAAAGGGTCCAAACATTGGACTCATAATATCTCTCACGCATCACACACAGTCGACACGACCCGAACGAACCTCCCGGTTGAAGGAAGCAGCCGAAGACGTTAAGATCGGCTCGGCAAAAAGCCGAGCCAAAAGAGTGGGATGTGATTTATACAATCCATTTTGTGGCTTCTGAAGCAAAGCCATGGAAAAAACGACTCTTCCCTTAAAAAACAATGCTTTTCAGGTGTGAATGTGAACTATAGGGGTTGGACCCGCTTGCGCTTCAGTGCTGCTTTCCACCACCACCAGGCTGCCCAACCCTTCAGCAAAGCCAACTCGGCCTGCGCCGCCTGCGCCAGAGAACCGCAGGACCGAGGAGAGGCGTGGGCTACGACGGCTACGAGCGAAGATCTTCTAACTTGTGAACCCAGACCTTCCATATGACTGGAAGATTGAACACTGAACACATTTTGAAAAATCGTTAAGATCACCCATCCATCTCGGCTGGCGTATGCCGGTCCCATGGAGACAGGCAGTATGGGGTGGCGTATGGGCCTGGATCTCCCGGACCCACACCGGCGCAGCGAGCGGCTGAACCCGCGGCGCCAGCGGTTCGCATCGAGCGGCTGCTGTTTTCGCGGCGCCATGCCGCAGAAGTTCCGAAGCCAATGGGTTAAGAGCCATAAGATGCCATTAAGTATCATACAGCCGGAGTATTGATATATAGTTTCTCCGGAAGATGTGGCCGTGGGGATCCCTTTTTGGCGATAGACACCTGCCACCTGCGGAGCGCAGCCACTGACTCTGTCCTTCAGGCTCTGGAACTTCAGCTTCTCGGTTTCTTTGTGCTTCACAGGGTGTTTTTTGCTCATATCTCCCATCCGTGTGCCGAATATCCATCATTCGAAGGGCAAAAGACATCCATCTCTGGCACGTGGTGTAGAAGATCTTGTGGTTATGGTGGTGGAGGCCATCGCTGCGTGGTGATGGTGTAGGAGATGTTGGAAGACAAGTTCTGCAGCTTTGTGATCAAACGTCACAGCTCTGCACCGTGAAAATGACCCACACAAAGGCTCGAGGGCTCAATCATGCCTTCTACTCACTCATGTGGAAACCATGCGGCTTGCATTTAGATGAAGTGAATGCATTTGTTCAAAAGCGGCACTACAATGCAAAACAGCCTGTACCACTCCCTGTGATCTCCACATAATATGAGTTCACAAGCAATGAGCAATCCTAAAGCATATCCATCTGGCCGCAAACCCAACTGAGCACATTCCCAGGGCCCCGCCTCTAATTGGCGCTGCAAATCCGCGCCATGCCGTGTCCTGAAAGCAAAAAACACCTTATAACCTATAAGAAAATATACGTTCTAGTCAGTCTGACTTAGAACTCTATGATCGTGCAGCATGACTATGATCTGAAGTAATCCTCTATTCTTTCGTCTCATGGAGGAAAAGGGTTGGAAAAATCGCAGTTTGGGGGGGTCCTGCGAGTCCGTGAGAGTCGATTCCACACTGGTCGTCTACTTTCCTCACGGCCTCCACTTGCGATTGTTGTTTTTCTTGGAAGACTTCATGGGCTCGAGAGGCTTCACGGTCTTCCTTACTTCCCTGTCTCAGCATGATCTTTAGCTCTGGAGAAAACATATTCCTTGACCCTTAAAACATCTTAAACCATCTGAAACACCCTCACCGTGCGGCAAATATGCCAGTCCACCCTTGGGTTGTGGATCCACTCCACCGTCTTTCCGGCGGCGGGTTACGCATCGGGCGATGAAGCCCAAACCTGGTTCAACGCATCGACCCCCATCGGGGCCAAAACAATCCAACAAAACGACCCCAGCTGGGTCGATCCGTTCAACGCATCGTTTGGAACTCGCGAGACATCCGGATGTCTCGTTCTTCTCGCCGCGGGCGACTCGGTGGAGAGGGCCGAGTAGTCTCTCCTGATCTCCAGTTCACGTTCCAGGGCCGCACTCCGGGAACGCTCGCCTGAGACTGGAGGGTATGTAGTATAGGGGCTGGGTATGATACAAATGTGCCTTTGGTTCTTCTCTAAACGTTGCAGCGTGGGCCAAATCGAGTCAGGATTGGCAATAAGGACCCACCGGTAACTCGAGGGCAGCGCAGGGGTTACTGGTTTAACTCTTGGAACATACTCTTACAGGTGCCAATGGATACGGCTTGAAACATTATGTAGCCAGCCTACGCATTATATGGCCTTTGGAGGATTGGACACCTCAAGTTGAATCCTGGTAACTCATGGGGGATCTTAAGGGTCGCAACATTGCGATGCAAGCACCAACGATGGCGTGATGCAGTTTCTCCGCCAGCACCAAACAAAACCACCGACAGCTGCCCTCCATCCTTTCTTCGCCCGCGTCCGATGCGTCCACCAACGCGGCCCACCCATGGCATCTTCGGCTCCCGGACGCAGCAGCCGCCAGCGATGACTCCGCAGTTCGGTTTGGGCTTGCAGTAGGCGCCAGCGTGAGGTCCAAGACTTGGTCGAAGGATCGGTTTTTCGCTTCCGACACGGCGGGCGAGGACCGATTCGGTGAGCTTCCAAAAGTCGTTCTGGAAGAGGCGGACGAAGTGACTCACAGTTCATTCGTTTGGCGGAGCTGTGGCAAAAACATCCGCAGGAAACGAACCAATGAAATCAAAAGTGGGCGGACTCTCTTGATACAAGGCGGTAGTGTGTGCTTTCTTGAAGTCGAACACTTGCGTTCATCCATTGAAGAGTTCCTCTTTGATAGTTTCAGGAGGGGTATGATAAGGTTTGCCCACCAAGTCTGCCCAATCGAGCATTCTAGAACTATAGGAGACCACACAGGCACACAGGCTACTCTCGCAATACGTGTCGTGTGTTTTCCACGCGAATTTGGATGGAAAAAGGATATAGTCGGCATCCAAAAAATGTTCTTCGCATAGAAATGGATTGATTAATTGCAGGATAGCAGCCTAGCCTTTGAATCTGACCAAACATCAAGTCCAGCAGCAATTGTTTGGATGATTTCTGTACTTCTTAATACTGTAACCTCTTGATCAACATCCTGTGACTTCCTGTGTCTCTATAGAACGCATCGTCCATTTCAGGAGTTCATGCTCAGAGTCCAAGAGGAGAGGCTTTGCTCTGGAAAACAAAACAGTCACTATGGCCAATGACCTGCTAGACTCCATCAATGGAAAAAACCTTTGACTTTGTGACGCATGTTTGTTCGTGTGGCTCGCTAACACTTGGTCAATGCCTCCATGTGAACAATGCGGCCAGTGAATGATCAAATGCAGCTGCCGGTGCAACGGAAGACACATTGTCCCACCCTGGCCTTCTCACGTTTTGTTGAAACACTAGAGTCTAGCCTCCTCTAGCGCTAGCTGAGTCTAGCTGTCTACGCGTTGCTGCTTTTCAGACTTTGTTCAAACATGTTCAAACCATGAGCATGTACAGCTGAAGCGCCGCCTTCTGTATGATCCAACAGATAGCGTGTCGCCTCATGTCAGACCCACAGGGATCGCCTTCACTCCACGACCGCCAGTCGTCCAACCACTCTCCTCGACCGCCAGTCGTCCAACACATGAGCCCCCTGGCGTCTGGCTCCGCCTGCGCCTTGAAGAAACGGATCTTATCCTGACGGTCGCGCCATCCGGTCGAGGTCTCTGCCAAAGAGGCGGGGGTCGTTGGCAACGAACAAGGGTCTCCGGACGTCTCCCGAAGGGAAAGATCAGTTTTTGGGGCGTTCCATGCCACACTCCAAGTGTAGGATTTGTTCCTACGGCCCCTAAAACCACCCTAATCTACGTTGATATGCTGTGAATGAGCCATTATTTGTTGTTTTCTTGTGGTCATGTCTGAGTGGACTTGGTTTGTTTTGCGCTCTGCTGCCACTGCACAGGGAATCCAGGGGCTTCAAAGCGCCAAGTACAAACTAGACATCTGGTCCCCTCCTCATATTATGGTTCCCGTTCCCAAACGTACAAAATCATGTCTCATGCTGACATGCTGACATCCCCTAGTGAATCGTCAAAGGCTTTTGCGGCGGCCCGTCCTTGTTCTCAGGGTCCTCTGCACAGGGAACCTGCTTGTATGCGCACGACGCTTCATTGAGGTGCTCCATGTCTTTTTCGGGGTTTGCTTCATGAGGGGCAACATGTGACTTCATATGACTTAAGTTTCAATGAGTGTGTCCCTGTGTCCCTGTTTCAGGGGGAATCCTCCACAGGAGCCAGAGGCCGTTGGATTTCAACCAAGCATCTTCTCTTGATGTGTGCTCGAGTTTTATGTATTTCCAGAATCGGGCGAGATTGGCGTTGAAGTACGAGAGGAAGGCCTCGATTTCAGAGTCCAACGAGCTATGGACTTGCTTCATGAATAGATACGAATGAGCAGACACGTCCAAGAATCGAAGGACCCGACTGTTCTTATTGAGGACGCATCTATCTTACACGGTCTGTATACCAACGAGGGCGCCTCGAGGGTGCAGTGCCCCTCGCAGCATGACTTACAGGTGCCTACTTGCTCGTTCTTTGGCTCAGGGACACTCCTTTGCTCTGGACCTTTGTTGAGACCCTCTTTTTTGTAGACCCACTTCACTTCACTTAGACCTGCCCATGATGCCTTTTGATGCTAAGCGTTTGATTCATGTGGAATCGACCAACGACTTTCCAACCAAACTTAAGATCACTATGATCACTGAATCACATGTGTTATATTGCATATAGTATAAGTTCGCAATGTTATGATGTGGATGTGGCTCAAACCCACAGGTCTCAAATGATCTTAGTCTATATGTTCAATTTTGCAAGTAAGTGGCTTTGAAGTATGCCTCATGAATTGGCTAAAACCACAAGCTTCTGTGCAGCCAGTGAATGGTTCTGGGCAACCTCAGGAGTATTCAGCCCGAACAAACAAAAAAACTGTGAGGAACTCTATCCTGCATCATCAACGCATCACAGATTGATCGGTGCACGCCCGCCTCTGAAGGGCAAACCTTGCCTGACCCGTTGTGGGCGAACCGTGATCATCGGGTGAACCATGAGGTCTACCGGTCTACACCATGAGGAAACCGTGTTTAACGGGTGGAGGTTCCAAAAGGGGAGCCTTTTTAGTCAAAAAACTCCAATAAGCTGAACACAGTGAGGTGATCATTGCTTGTGACTGACTGTTGCAGGATATTACAGGTAATAGGACAGACCCAAGTGCTGGTCAAGTCTAGCGATACCCCCCTCGTCATGGTTATCTGAGTCATCTGAGTTATCAGGTCGCAGCCTTGGAGAGCCTCACTGGGGGTGCCCACTGTACGTGGCGGTACAGCCCCGCCTAGAAATCGGTGAACAGCGAAACACATGATTCACACCGAGGAGCCCCTCAAGTCAGACGCTGGCCTCAAAGAGCTGAAAGAAGCATCACAAAGTTTCAGCTGTTCATTGATTCTCTGACAAATGTCGAAGGCTGTTTAGGGCGCAACACTGAGCAAAACCAATAGATTCCGAACCAGCAAGCAGCATAGCATCCTGTTGTAAATAAAACATCCCCAAGGCCACAAGAACGGTTTCCCGGTTTCCACAGCTTTCTTCTCCGGCCCTGCCTTGGAGAGCCTGCGAAGCGAAAAACGGCGGGCAGAAGTGAGTGGAGAAGAGGTCTGGACAACTCACAGGGCTCTCTGAACATTCCAAGTATGCCAACCAAGCAATGCCCACCTTTGGCCAAAAATGTCAAGTTTGGCAAGTTTGGGATACGACATCCCGCCCAAAGAACCCCGGGCCAACATCAATGGATATCAATGGCTGCTATCTTTGTTCCATTGCAGGGGTTCGTTGTGAAGAAGTTGAAGTTCACTGTAACATAAATACGGCCTTACTCTTTTGGGAAAAAAAGGACGGACCCAAGCAAATCCGCCAACGGACACGGGTAAAACCCTGAAGAGAATGAAAAACCCTTCAGTTGCTCAATACCCTTTAAGAGAAAGGAACACGCCCTCTTTGGACTGCACCTTTTCACGGAAGCCGAGCGGCCCAGGGTGCAGCCGGGCTCAGCCGGCACCCACGGTGGGATCTTTAGGTTAAGTTATGCTCTCTACTAGCAGGAGGTGATATGGCTTCAAAATGCTACAACATGAAGACAGGTACACCCAGACAGGTAGCCACATGTCCTCTACAAAATGGCTTCAGACAGGTGATATATCTGAGAAAACAAAATTGCCATTATAGTAGACATGTCAGTGATCTCAGGGGTCAACCCGGTCAACCCTTGGCATTTTGAGCGCAGTCCATGTGCAGCATGATGGTACTGTATATGCACAAATGTTGGCTTGGTCGTCAGCGCCAAGCTGGATGGCGAATCCGGAGACTCGAACCGAACGAACATGGATAGAAACTGTACGAACGAAACTGTGCTAGAATAGAAACAGTCTTAGTTCTTTTTCCCTCAGAAATAGATGACCAAACGCAATAAGATCTACCCTCCCTCCAACAATCATGGAAGTGGATAACCCCTTGTTGGTAGAGGAAAGTAGTCTTCCCAGGGGCCACTTTTCCACTTCCATGATTGTGGGAGGGGGTATGAGGGGGGTAGATGTAGAGATTTTGTGAAACTGTCTGGCTGATTGAGTTCTGGCCACCTGCAGAGCTCCCCCACCTCACAGTTTTTCACCTCACGGCCGACCTACTGGAGTACTGGTCACCTAAGTCACTGAATGAGCTGACGTCCATAAGTTGAACATCCAAAACTTCAAACTTCACGCAGCATTGCAACATCTTGGACTCGTGAGTTCACACAAGTCCTTTCTTCCCCTCACCCCCAAAGCTTATAATCATACATGTCTTATTATGATCTATATCATATGATCCATGGAACTCCTCCGCTTCCGCTGAAGCCGCACGCGCGCTGAGCGATGGCGCGCCACGTGGCATGCCTCGGGTCTCAAGAGCTGCGCTTGTTCCAAGGCCTCACGTGGCGCGCCACGCGGCACCGCTGAGTTCGGGTCCGGCGAACGCGAGTCTGAAGGGTCCAACACACGCACGCGAGTCGCCGCGCGTAGTTCGGGGCCGCTCTGTTTCGTGTTTTTATTGGGATTGAAGGGTCCAACTAGCATGCTATATATGTGGTTTGGAGCATGTTGAAGGGTAAGGCTCTTGGACAAAGAAGCTGTTCATAATTCATCAGTTTTACAGAAGATGCAGTCTGTACCAACACCCAACAAACCTCTAGACGAGACCCTTTGAAGGTGCTGGTAGATCTTTATACAAAAGTTCCAGCTGTCGGAAAACCCTGGACTCGACCCAAGCATTGTGTTCTTTGCTTGAATAGGTTCCCACGTGGTTTGACACTGAACGAACGTCCGTACAAGACTCATCGCTTCAGCCAGAAGACCTGAAGGGTACGCATCCCCAATTCAAGACACGGCCACAAAACTCATCCCCCTTCCAGCTCCGTTCTCGCCTCCTCTTGTGCCAGGAGCACCTCCTCCAAACCTTGCAAGGCTTGCAGGGCCACTTGCAAAGCCTGGCAAAGACAAAGCATCACGGATGTCTCTTTCGGACAGAGTGATCGTGCAAACAGACCGTTTGAGTTGTAACATACAGTTCGGGGGCAACATGAAGTGTAGTTTCTTGGGCGGAAATCGGAAATGCTGCTGGTTTCTTCATTTGTCTGTCACCCAACTCTGTCGAATATGACAACATATTGGTGATAGGACCTGATAGGAACCACAAGCTCTCAAGATAATGAAGCTGTTGAATAATGCCGTTAGCCCATGTGGCTAGATCTGCCAAGAATCCCTTTCTAGGCAAACAAACCACAATTCTAGCCTGAGAAGACTCAAAAGACTCCCCTACAGCACCTTGGCGGGATGTCGTTTAGTTATATAAATGCCAATCATATTTGTCTTCCAGTCCCAGTTGAACACATCACCCACACGCGACTTGGGATCGACGACTTGGGACTCCCTCTGGGTATTTCATGGACCAACCGTTGCCACATGCTGAAATCCGCTTCAACTTCCCCATCAGCGGATCCCCATTGGCCCAATGCTTCAAACAATTCGTAGTAAAGATCACATCAATGGAACATGGAAACAATTTGGTTCATCCCTCCAAAGAAAGGCTGGATGTTGTACCTCCGGCCCTTGCGCGATCGGCCCTTACTTGCTGGGCGATCCAGTCACAAAGGCGCTGTACTTCCACATGACTCGAGGACAACCGCTTAATCAGCTCGGATCTTGACATGGTTAGACAGAGACGGCAAGCAAACATGCTCCAAATGTTCCCTTCCCAATATGTGTTCATTCCTTATAAGTTTGGCTTCAAATTTTTCATGTTCTGTCCACAGAGGGGGCGCTCCGAAGATCTGACCTCACGAGGCCCATCCCAGGGGTCCCACAAGCACCCAAATCTCAGGCACCTCTAACTGTGAGGTTTGAGGATGCGAAGGCCTGAGTGGAGAAAACACATGAATCCAAGCAATGCACCAAACTTGACGAACAGCCGGCACTGGCACTGCAGTGCGTGAAACGTGAGGAAGCCTAGTCTATATATATGTATATCAAATGCAAGTTCATCCTCTTTGTCTGGAACAAACATAGACAGAAAACAACAACAGTTGATCCGATCAATCGGCTACCTTTTGGCGCATCCTTCAAACCGTTCCCTTTCCATCCTAGTTCTCTGAAAGGGCCCCGCAGAAAAAGAAGAAAGGCAACCCCAGAACATCCAGAAGATCAAGTGAACTCTGCAGGTCTTTTTTGCGAGGTCTTCTTGGGTTCCAGGGCACCTGAGTGAGGAGGTGAATGATGACCTTCGTGTCAAAAAGGTTGATCACCCGCTCCAGCACTCGCTTTCGCCGCGCGAAAGCAACCGAGCCACACAGAGGGTGCTCCAGCTGTGGGCTCATCGTCTTCTAAGCACCGGGACCTCACAGCACACTGAACAAGTTAAGTATGATGGAAGACCTCCCTAAAAAACGTGTCCAGGGCTTGAGAGGACGCGCATGCATGAGACAATTGCCAAATCGCTTTGAGACTATCAAACCCATACACTCCATGTATATATGCCTGCATTGACCCCCCAAACCACCCCAATGTAGGCATATATGGCATGCGTTCATGGCATACACATGGAGCGTCTGGAAGGGCGAGCCGCTCACGGTTCTGTGTTGGTCGTAACGAAAAGAGAGCACCAAAGAGTCCCAGCGTGACGACAGTTTTGCCGGCGTGTTCAGGCCCTGTGAGCAACGTACTACCTGACCTGCAAAGCATGACTCTTAAATGTGCAAATCTCATCAAATGTCTAACATGTGTTGAGTCAACGAAGCTTGCCCAACCACCCCAGGTCTTGCGGCAACAGTACACTCCGGTATGGTTCCATCTAATGGACCGACCACAATTCCTTCGTCCAGGAGCTCGGCCCGAAATCAGAAAACACATCCAACTGACTGTGTAAAGAATCAAGTTCATGCCATATATAGTGGTGGAACAGCGATTTATGTTTATCTTGTTTCTATCTTGTTGCTTGGGGTTGCGGGCTTGTTTCATTTATGTGTTGGCTATCTCTGAAAGGAGATCAACATCTTCTGAAACCGTAATTCACTGTCTGACTCCATGTGTGTATGACTCCATTCCTCAAAACCCAAAAAACACAAAGAATACGCCCCGTCATCCGACCTCAAGTCCGATGGCGCCGATGGTGAACCTGACAAGGGAATCCGAACCCGACAGAACCCACCGGAAATTACATGCGAAAAAGACGAAGGAGCAAACGCAAAAATGCTTATATCTAATCCCTTCCACCTATTTAAAAACGGACCTAATAGGTGTTGTTACTTTTTTAATAGGTGGAAGGGATTAATCCATCCTATTATACTAGGCTTTTTGTTGGACTTCCAACGTTCGTCAGGTTCTATACCACAAGTAGCATCCACAGTCATATCATGTCATATCACATCATATCACCATAGTGGCTGGGCGTTTTGCCATCGGACGAAGTCATCCTAATAACCGGTTGATCCGACGTGAAGGCCATGAAGGCCATGGGTTTTGAAGACCAAGTTCTGTAGATGTCTGTGTTAAACCACTGGCCGGGCATTAAAATGGTAATCAAAGTCTACAAAGCCAAGCAGTAGAGCTCTGGGCATCTCCGAAAGAGCACTGTGTCGAGAAAAGTCACCGTCCTGGAGGGCCCCCATGGCTTTGGATGAAGCTTAGCCAAATGAAGCCACAAGTGAAAACCTTCTGGCATACTCTGTAAAACCACGAAACGGGTTTTGAAGGATAGCTCACATGAACGACATTCCAAAAAATGCATCATTCAATATCTTTCATATCTGCTAAGTGCTACATGGTTGGGAAAATAGGTTTCGCATGGGGATCAGAGATGTTCCAAAGGAGCATTTTGTTGAAAGGGTCCATGGTTGTCAGGTCATTATTTTGTTCAACGAACTTGAGCTTTGGGCCCTCAGCAACAAAGGTCCGACTGGTTTGCGGAGTGCAGCGCCATCCTAATCTCTGGCATCTGACTTAAAAGCTAACCTTTCCCAGCGACAGGCACTGCAAGGATTTTAGGAGCATCTACTGGAGGCCATGTAACCTTACAAAGAAAAACATCATTTAGATCATCTTGGATCGTTTTGCTCTACAAGCCATTCTGGAGTTCAATTGGAGAACACCTGCACCAGTTTTCACCACGACCACCGATGTTCGGACGCCGGCGTCCCCCGCTTTCCGAGCGCGGGGACTCCGCGGAGACGGTGCCTCGGACCGGACCGGAGGGCGCGCGAAGCGGAGCGACCGAATTCGTGGGTTTTGAGGGTCCAAATCGATGGGCCTCATGGACCATGAAGGAAACGAATGGCATATGGGTGGTGAGCGATAACTTCCATGTTAGTGAGTCGGAGTGTATACATGTATATACGGGATGTTATCGCCACAGGATTATCCTGCAGTTTGACGACATAGTTTAACACTTACTGGACCATTCTCCAAAGTGTCATCGCAGACTAGGAAGCGCTCAGGGTAAAACCCCCTAAGTGAATCAATTGAAGAATCACATCTTATATACATTTATACCCTCGAGCTCTGTTTAGGTGTTTAGGATGGACCCACAAATCTTGCAAAGTACAAGTTGTTAGACATGGAGAAGAATTACTACGGTAAGCATGTAGGTCTGTTAGTCCTTTCTGCAAGAATGAGATCGCTTGCTTTTAGTACTAATTGATATTTTAATCTTCGAGGGATGTGTTATGATGTGTTATGATGTGTTCACAAAGGGATCAATGATTCATATGTTTGTTGTGTTCAAACAGTACACCTCAACTATGATCCCCCATGGACTTGCAATAAGTATAGGTATATATCAGTATATCGGTATATAAGCTGTAGTACAGGGATGTCCATGATGACCCCTGGCCGGCTACATCCACCAAAGTTTACATTAGAAAGGAACAAACTCTTGAAGGAGATAGAGACAAATGAAGCGGGCTGTCGCAGGCAGCCAGGCACCAATCTCACGGTCTCCAAGGTCGTTCGACTTCCTCAAACTTGGAAGATCTTTTGACACCTAAATTTCCTAATGGCAATAGCCTCCAACCTAATAGCAATGGCCTCCTAAAATCATCTACATGTGTTGTCGTCATCTCTTCTAAATGAACATATCTTGACAACATCCCTCGATTGTTTCGTCCACATGTTCACCATCCCGGCGTCGTCCGGACCGAGGACCACGGATTTCAATCGGATTTGGACCGGGCAAGGTCATAGCCGCGGTCGGAGGGTGTGTTCGCCTGGGAGAATTGGATGCCTGAGCCAACAGCGAATTCCTCTGGCACTGCCAATTCCCCTCCGTTCTTGATCTTATAGGCGCCCTGGATCGGTGGTGTTACATGCCCAACTCCACAGCCTGGTGGCCCGATGGGGCAAGTGGGAAGTGACCATTGAACCGACATGTTGCTCCTCATGATCAATGACGTTCAATGAGGTTCAAAGTGTGTGTGCGGGTGGGCTTCAATGGAACTGACTAGTCTGATGTAGCTTGTCCAATCGGACCTCCTGAATAGGCCCAATAGGCTTCTTTGTCAAAGATATGCAAATGAAGCATGAGGCCTGATGAATGACCAATGCCAGTAAGCTGGCCCATCTCAATGAAGTTATCTGCACCGATTGTCCTTGCTCAAGACCATCGATGTGCAGCCCATGTGGGCCGTAGCAAGCGCAGCCCGCCAAGCCCAGCTAGGTTCCCCGTGACTGGTGAGATTGCAAAGACGAGTTTTAAAGAAGGCCTCGCCTTCTGCATCGCACATCAAGGTGCTACATAACTCAACCGGAGGATTGACGTCGCTTGATTCGCTTGAGCGTTCTGGATCCCAGGGGACGAGAAGGATCGCCTTCGTCATTGAAGAACCGCCGGAGTGTATGTTCTCCGCGACCTGAGCGGATACTTATATATTACTCGGAGTTTCGGTCACATCAAGGCCGCAGTTCGCTCAAGGCCGATTCACGAACACCTGACTGGGTGGCTGGGTTGGTCAAACTGTCGTGTCCTGATTCTCCAGCACCATCCTGTCGACCCGGTGTGGACTACACTCCACTACTCCACTATACTGGGATTTCTGACACCAATCACACAAAAACAACTCGGACAACATGATGCCCGGGATTTCTGACACCAATACTATATACTTGGATAAAATGATGCCCCAAGCATGCCAATGGCAAAATGATGAGAACTTCCGGCATTGGTGGCAGTCATTCTTCACTTCCCTTCACCCACCAGGGGAATTCATTCTTTCATCCCGCAGACCCGCTGGTTTAAGCCTCGCCTTCCGTTTGACCAAAAGAAAGGCTGACCTGGTGTGGAAGTCCAAGCAAAACAATGCTTGTTAGTTAGTTGTTTTCTTTTTGTAAATGCTATTGGGAGAACGGTTACCCACTTTTTTGCGGTCCCTTTGCAGCCTCCCCTGAATCATGCCCAGCGTCTGAAGCGGGAAAAGCCTGTGGACCAGGAAGCATCCTCGGTGGGACTCAAACAAAGATCCGCTGCGTAAGTTCACATGTTTCCAGCGGAGAGGATGAACTGATGAAAAAAGATACTGTTTGTTATTATATAGGCACACATCTATCAGTTGGACATGTAGCCGAGAGCAGCAAGCAACATCTTGACCGCCTGGTCAAAACTGGTTGGGTCTTCCTTCCAAATTCTTCTAAACAAAAGGTAACTTACTTATGTAACATATTGTTTAGATGTTATAAATGCGAATCCTAGTTCAGCCAGTGGTTGGGCAATGTTGGGTAGTTGGAGCACTTCTGGGCCGTCCAGCAAGCCTAGAGTCCTTGGCCTGTGATCCACTGAAAGATTGGCGAAGCCTTTGCTCCACATGTTGAAGTCCGAAAGACATCTCTTCAATGGAGCCAATCCACATAAGGTCCCAACAACATCCAGCAACAAAGTGTGTTTTTTACTGTAAAAAAGCAGACTCGTTGGACCTTTGGTGATGGGTTTCGGAAGAGACCTGGCTATCCGTCAGAATTGGAGGTGGGCGAAGTGGGTCAGATGGTCACGGCTGCATCATCCATGGTCCAGCAGTTCGGAAAATGCGGGGTTGCGGCCAGCATCGCGGATGCTGTAGAGAAACAACGCTCAAAACACTACTAGGACTAAGACCATGTATGACCATGTACTGTAAAACAACAGTTGATGAACATAACCCCCCATATGATCCCTGGAGAGGTTCTATAATCCATGTCTGGAAGGGTTATTCATCAACAAACAAATACATGGAACCTGAAAATGACACCTTGGAAGACGATTTTCCTCTACAAACCGGGCTTGGTGAACTCAGGTTCGATGTGGGTCTCGGACCTCCCGGGCGTACCTAATGGAACTGGGCTTCCGGCATCGGCATCGACTTTATCAGCATCCGAGGCGCCGGGGCAAGTTGGGGTGTGCCCCCAGTCTTGGGCACTTGCAGGATGAGCTCCTGCAGATGTGAGGCCGAGATGCGCATCTCGATCCGCATCTCGATCCGCACGCGCCACACAGATTTTGGGAGCCGAGATGTGTTTCAGGGTGTTGTTCACCGAGATTTGTTGGGTTCCAGCTGGACGGTGGCCGATGCCAAGAACGGAAAGGGATGAACTGGAGCAACATGGAGCAGCCATCTGGAGCATGGACTTAAGCAGGACTTCCTGCAATCGGATGGTGCCCGGGATGCGTTTTCTCCTGTTGGGACTTCCAGCCTTATCACGGCTACAAAGGTCCGTTCGAAGGATGAGGAGGGTTGGATCGAGTTCTGACTGAACCAAAACTTGGGCATCCCATGTGAGTGACAAGAGCGCTATCTGGATGAATCGAGTTCTGTGATTCATTACAAAGTCCTTTGGTCAACTGAGGCTCCATGCTCCCCAGTTCTACGTACTTCCTTTTTGCATGTGAGTGGAAAGAAACTGTGAGTGGAACGATTTGGTGCGGGGACTGGCCACTTCATCTCTCTTGAAGTTAATTAGCACAATAACTGGCAAAGTGAAATGACGTGAACGTGTCAATTCTGCTCATGTTGGAGTTTTTGTTGGGTACAGCGTATGCTTCATATCTGCACAGGACCACAATCAAGGGGGGTCCTATTGTTCTGGCGATCCTTTAAATAAGATAGCCCCGTGGTGTGGAAAAATAGCCCCGTGTGGGTCATTGGTTCTCTCCATTGTGTGTTGACAAAAACCCATGAGCACCGCCAAAGGCGTGTGTGATCAATTTGGTGCGCCAAAGCAGCGGTGAACGAACATTGTTATTGGTGAACGAAAGGAGCAAAGAATGACTGTTGCTGGTGCCCCTAACCATGCCCGTTATGGGGACACACGAGGACACGAGCGCGCAAAGAAAGCTTTGGACACATGGATGAACATGGCATTCCATCCTGCTGAGGTCGTTTGTTCCATCTGCTGTTACTTCCTGATATCTCATAGTTATACCGAATGGGCAACAAACAGTCTTTGGTACAAACAGTCTCACGGATGGAGCAATTCATCTAGCAAAACGAGTAAAACATCCTGTGCTACATGGATGTATGGATGTATCAATCACTCCAATTGGGATGCTAGCAGCCCCTCGTGGGGCTTTGTGTTCTCCTTGGACCCGAAGCTCCACAGGAGGATGTCTGAAACAACGCATGGAACTTGCTCAAAAGCAGTTGTTTCATGCAATCCGATCGAAGGATCGATCCGAAAGAGTTGTGTCATGGGTGAGACACAGAGTGGTTTTCTTCATGTGTCTAAGGGTTGAAGATCGAAACAATTCAACAAACATCAAGAAACGCATATTTCAATTAACAAATGAAACATATTGCACAACTTGTTATTCACAGCAGGCCTTCCACCGAACACACGGCATTACTCTTCGAGCTCTCCCATCCTGGGTGTGTACTAGGGAGATCTTCCAACAACTCTGTTAAGTTCTTCTTGTTCCTAGTCGCTTCTTGTTACTAGTAGCGATGGCCTCCAACCTAATAGGAATGGCCTCCACCTAGTAGCGTCCTAATATTTGTTAAGTTCTGTTGTTGCTTCTTCTCACTTCTCCTAATGGGTCTCTTAGTGGGGCATCAAACGACCAAAGCGTAGCAAAGCGACCTTCATCTCGTCCACAGAGCTGCTCCGACAGCGATGTCGCCTAGGCAACAGCGCTGTCAGGTCCGTCCGGAGTCGGGGTCAAGTTGTTGTTCAACACAAAGAAGGTCAAGTTGATGTGGATGTGTGTCGAACTTGTTGCCTTCTTTCCTCGAACTTGTGTGTCGACACCACAGGGAACTGCTAGGTTGATCTTTTGTTGAAAACACTCCGTTCGTCAGTGGAATGTGAAATTCTGTTTGGGAAATGAGAGTGTGATCCAGGAAGAAGAAAGACCCAGAATGACCAGCTCTTGGAGCTGGCAACCAAGGAAATGCAGCGTACTAATAGTCGAATACATCAAGAATCACCTTACAGAAACATCAGGATGAAGAGGCCAATGAGGATTGGGGACATGCTATGCCCGAAGGACACCCACCCCTGGAAACACGACATGGCATGGGCGGTCGCACATACAGCCAGGCGGTTGGTGAAGAGAACATCAGCAAGGAACTAGGGATCTTGGCTCTTCCTTCTCCTCCTACAAAGAAAAAAACGCTGACATCTGAGAATTTTGGCAACCTTCTCGGTGGTGGTTAGCCAGCATCTACCCAAGAATGCTTCTGCACTAGCTCATGTTGTCGTGGACGCTCCTCCTGCCTCCAATTGTGCTCTTGCTATCCAGGTAGGTTTCAAGATCTAACCATTGAGGTGCAGTCAAGGGGCAAGAACATGTATCCATCACCTGTATTTTGGTATCTCATGGGAAGGTTCTATCCTTCTATGGTGCGAATCAACCTGTATAATTCACCAGTACTCCTATCCACAGGTACCCACAGCACCAGCGGTTGCCCGGGCTTCCCTGCTTCTCCTTCGCGCCAAGCCTAAGTCAGATCGGCCGGATGCATGTCATGGCCAAGCCTGAAGCGATCGGAGTGGAGCCCATCTCTACCAGTACCCTCACTGTCAAGTCTTGGCCCGTCGAGGGTTGGGAAGGGCCCATGCCCAGGTCGACTCGGGTCTTGGTATTGATCTTTGTTGAGACAAGGAATAATTGCAACAATCATGGTTGTTTGGATGGTACCACCTATGTGGTAGTCGGATGCCATGCGGCCATGCCCTGATGATTGTTTGGTGCAAAATCAATCAACATGGGTTCCTACAAATAGGCCAGTCGGTCTGCATTTGGACTTGGGGCTCCGGGGCCTCCTCCCGGGTTCCCCCACTCGCGTCGGGCTTGCGCCAAGTCCTTCTGGAGCTGAGCCACCTCAGGAGACATCAATGCGGTGGTGGCGAGGTCAGCAAACTGCTTCCCCTCTGGGTCACTGGGTCACTTGTTACAGCGAATCAAAATACACCTAGGTGCTAAGGCTGCCTTGGGAACCACACTGGTTCCAAAAATGAGTACAACATAGTACAACGGCAACATACTTATTAGACATTTATTTGCAACAAATAAAACAAAAACTCAAGTCCCTTGAGCTAGCCGCCCTGATGACTTCGTGCTTAACCTATATCCGGTGGTAACGCTTGAGGATTGGAAGGGCTGAGAAGTGTGCTACAGTACTGCCCGACCCTCAATGTGGGCGAGCATCTTCAATTCCCGCTACTGCCCTGCCCAGGCGATTCCGTCGACGGTGCAACGATGTGAAGCGCGGACAGTTCTGCTGTGTTGTTTCTTAAGAGTAAACGTGGATTCCAAAGGACCTCCTCAGAATCACCTTCAACAGGCGAACAGGCTCGTCCTGATGCGTTGTGACGGTCTGTCTTTCTTCATGTCTGGTCCGCTGTTCACGGTTCTTTTTCAGCGGAACATAGCTTCCATACTAATGCTTCAGATGTTCATTGAGTTCCTCTACGACTCGTTGCCTTGGGTGGTCCAACTACACCACCCCAACATAAATTTGTTCAATTATACGTATGACAAATGCCCTTCCCTCGATGTTAGCTCCATCAGTGTTCTCAATCACATCCAAGTTTGGTCACTGAGTGGTACACATCCAGGTTTGGTCGTGTAAAGAACCGTAAAACTCATGATGAATGATCTGAAAGCGAGACATACTGCATTTCCAGGAACTAGACATAGTGGAGTACTGGTAATTTACGTCATAGTAGCATGTGAGAAAGCACAATCAAACATGTGTCTTTGCACACGGTACATGTATAATATATATGTTATTGCGCAACAGTTAGTAGTTTTCCCGATTTCACAGGATGCTTGGATCTAGGTGCAAATATTTAGCGGTATTCCCACCACTCTGGTGAAAGCTTGAAGGCTGCACCAACCGCAAGCAATCCACCGGAGCAAACCAACAAATATCTGGCCTTTTGCTGTCCATGACCTTTTCCACTTGGAGTCCGCTAGCCTTCCGGCTATGCCTTTTTCCAAGTCACCAGTGGCCATAGCTCCTCTGCAGAGTAGACAAAGTTCACATGGGCGTAGTTCCTGACCTCACCAGGAAACCAGGGTTGGTGCTGTGTTGTTTATCCATGTTTATCCCAGGGGACTTTTGGTGAGAAACCAGGTCCCCAAATTCTGGGAACCAACCGAAGAAGTCCAACTAAGAGATTTTCAACTAAGAGATTTTCAGCAGGAACCCATCTGCCACATGCCTTTCATCCGAAAATGACTCTTGGCATGGCAAAGACATGCAAAGACTGCGACTACACGGCGGGTCCTCTTCATACATGTGTGTATTGAAAGAGGGAGACCTCGCAGTTCGACCCCCTGGAACAACCATTCAATTGGGAGTCCCAATAGACCAATTTAAATAGGACCAAAACCTATTAGTTTCGGGTTTGCCCTACTATACTGTAAAGTACACATCCACAAGAAGACCAGCCGGAGATTGTTCGACTCTGTTCTTATCTCTGATCCTCGTCCCAACGATAGAGCTGCCAAAGCAACCCATCACCAGCATTCTTGATCCGTTTTGTCATACATCCACCTAGCCAATTGTCAATCTGCCCCTGTTCAATCCACTTGATGGCTCCAAAGGCTGACAAAAACACGGACAGGCGACCCTAGAGTGTCGCACGCCTTCTGAGCACGGGTGGCGAAGCGGAGGGAGCAAAGGGTCTCTTCCATATGCTGCGCCTCGGATTCGCCAACCGTCTGTCAAACAGCCGTCGGTCTTGGGTAAGGAACGGACCCTGGGAGAGACCTCCGTTGCTCATGTGAGAGTGATAAAACATGATCCCTAGCTTTAAAGGGCTTTGCAAGTGGGTAGCTTGTTGCAAGAAGGCCAGAAGGTGCAGTTGATATTAATGAGCCATGTGTGGACAGGAAGTTGCGAGAATACTGCACAACGGAATTAAAGGAACACCTCCTCCAAACAACGGATTTTTGTTGACAGTATCTTTTGACAAACCCGCACATGGCCAGCGGATTGTCATGGCAACAGCAGGGTCATGAGTTTCACTGGCGTAGTTGCCCTTAGATGACCAGCTTCCTCTACAACCAGGGTACTTCCATCATTTCAGAGAGACCTGCTGGTGGCTACACGTGGCTTCACAGCAGTTTAAAGCAAATTAACCATAAAAACACAATAGTAACCAAAGGTCCAACATTTAGTGACTATTCACAGGTCCTCCAAGTTCTACACCGACCAAGCTGAAGGTCCTTGGATCTTTGGATCTTCATCACCTTCAAGTTCAGCTTACCGTATGGGTCATCAAGCCCAGAAATTTTGGGCGGCGCCTCATCTGTGAGTTGATGGGATTCTACGGCTAGGCTAGCACTGCTCAGCTTCCCTTATCAATTGCTCCCTCCTCCATGCAATTCCTCTCTTCAGGTTTCTCCTTCACAGGTGACAAATGGTGAAAGGAGTTTATTGTCCTGTTGAATTTGTAGGCAAATATACATACAGGCTCGCACAAATGTACAGGTGAGGACATTGCAACACTTGAAAGAAATACTGCATGGTAGTTTGTGGGCCAAGCAATGCCGAACCTCTTGAAACATCCAAGACAACGCCTGGAAAACGCTTACAGTGGCTTTAGGGTCGGCACAAACCCGACGTCGCATACAAACCTCTATCCAAATAGGGGTCAATGGTGTTGTTCCATCAAAAAAATGCTGTGTTATACTGTACATTATATATTGTAATACGAACTAATATTATAATACATATTGATATATATATATATACGATACTACAGTATATATTGTCTTAAATATTATATATACACATGTATACATGTATACTGTAAAATACATTGTTAGTTGTTAACTCTATATATGTTTGCTTCCTACGCTCTGGCATCCACAGCAACACCCTTGAAAGATCACATGGTTTCTGTTTCCACCTCCCAAGTAATCGCCGGGTCACACACGCAGATGCGGTGACCATCAAAGTGGTGCGTGAGTTTCCACCCAACGCCTCCGAGGAAACTGACTCCGGCTGTTTTGGCTCCCCTGATGCTCTTTTAGGAAGACTTCAATGGCGCAAGCGTGATTTCTTCAACACCAAAGTCGACCCTAAAGTTGTACAAAGCCCACAGATTCGCCAGACACTCCATATATACCGCTCCGTTTTTAACCACCCCCACGTGTGTGTGTCCAGAAGCGGGAACTTCGGATCCCACCCGCCCCCCGTTTTCCAGGTTCGGTTTCTGCGCGGGCAAGGTGCTGACGTTCGGTCAGGTTGCACGTTCGAAGGCCGAGAAAAAAAAACCTCCAAATCAAGTCTCTCTCGTGATCCCTATTGTACTCAACTTGTGAAGTCCTTGCAACTTGAAGTCCTTGCAACACAACCCAGCGAGACATGCGAACCCTAGCCACAAAACCCTGTCTCCCTATCACCCTGTCAGAACGTCTCATAGTTTCGAGCAGCCTGTCAGGGTTAAAAAAGAAACCATCAAAGCCCATCCTTAGAATCAAGGCCTGCCCTTTTTTGAAGTAGCCCTCCGCTTGTTCGGGAACCGCTATTCCATCATCAACCCTGGCGGGTTTCGTTTCACGGCTCACCTCTTCCAAGACCCGTGTGAGAGTTGAGTCTCGATACCTCAGTCGAGACTCGGCCGTCTCCGTGAACGGGTCGTTCGACGGAATCTCCGTCAGGTCGAGGGGGTCGTGAAGTGAACTCGGGCAGCAACAAAATGCAACAAATGGTTTGCACGGAGTACCGTTTGGAGATGCTGACTTTTTAAGGGAGTCCATTGCAAGTATAGCACCATTTCCTGATGTGCTCTGTTTTATTTTTTCGTGCCCTTTTTGTTCAGTTCCGAGTTTCGAGGTCCGGAAGGTCTAAAAGGGAGGGCATTTCAACGACCAAAAAGAGCACATGTTTTCTGGGAAAGTATAGCTACACTCTTCGGCACATGTTTATGACTTTTATGACCACTCAGAAAACGTCTGACAGCTCGATCAGTGCCTATGTGAAGTCTATCAAAGCCCTGGGTCAGCTCCTCATCTTCGGCCATTCACCGACTTTAAACGGCCCGCGCCCCGCGACGCCCCGCTTGGGAGCCCCGGTCGGCACGTGCCCTCGGCGTTCCACCAAGGCATCAATCACCTGCGGTCCGAGCGGTCCGTGGGAGGAGGCGGCTTGCGGGCAGGCGGGCGGTTGGGTGGTGCAGCAAAGCCGGATTCACTGGGACATACTGGATTTACAGGTCCTGGAGACAAGGCGTACATTGGAGGGAGCATCACTCTCTGAAATCTCAGAATCCCAACTTATGAGAATCCTCATACAGGTGGTCAGGCAGCTGAGGGGACCATTTATGATCACCATCGAATCAAACTGTTGATATACTCCGCCAGCACGCATGACACATAAGTAATTATATAGGTTTTGGTGGCTTCATGAGTCTTGATTGAACAAGCAAGAGTTGAACACGCATTGTCGACTCACACATCGCAGGGTGAATGAAGCACTTAGGAAGGAATATCTTACAGGCCACCAGGTTCTCCTTTGGGACCTTACCTGGTCATTCGCCCATGGTCAAATAAATACCATGTGCACCACACGCTGATGGACCATGCTGAACTAGGCGTAATCAGGTTCGAACGGGTTCGAAAAGAAAAGCACATCGTGTCCTTTTTCGGGGGCGACCCATGCTGCCTGTCTTTGATACCCTCCAAACCTAAACACACACACACAGCAGCAAGCAGCAACAACGACGACAACAGCAACAACACACCGCAATTTCGCCGCATTTCCTGGGTTCCCACCTTGCCGAGTGCGGTGAGCGAGGCATTGATCTTCTTGGCTTCTTCCAAGGTCTCTCCCACACAGTGGCTTCGACCTCGTTTGGGCGATGGAAGGATCGGTCCGATCGGACCGACGGATAGAGACCGGCACCTGGAACATCGGATGCGCGGGAATTTGAACCTGCAATCCACAGGTCCAAAGCAATGGATGTGCACCGTCCATTCATCATTGGTTGATTGTTTTTTGGTGAGCTAAGATGAATAACATGCGCAGATGTTCAAACACAAGTGTCAGTGCGTGATCTTGGGGCAACATGTCCAATAAACTCTCAAGCCTGGACGCCTGGCCATCCACGCAAACCTTCCTGGATTTGCTTATGCGTTCATCCTGGTAAGGGGGATATTGGTTGTCTCGTTGTAGGGGATGACAAGCCCTCGAAGTCTCGATCCCGTCGAAGTGAAAAGCGCAGCGATTTCTGCGAAAGGCGTAGCGGTCGATTGGCGGTCAAGGGCCCTCGTAAGCCCAACAGCGGTTGGAAAACATGAAAATGGATCAAATCTACCAATGTGCATTCGTGACATTGACACGGGAGGAAAGTCGTTTCTTCAGACCCATCTCAACCGAATCAAGTCGTGGAGAAAAAAATTCAAAATGGCCCTTCGCGATCGTCAATCGCGGTGAGGATAGTAGGGACTGCAAAACAACCAAGCACCATGCTGCTTCTCAGGCAGCAAAACAAATTTGTTTCTCTCAGGGTCCAGCGTCAGCGGGGTTTGGATCTGCTTGTCCTGAACTTCATAGTCCAGAAATCTTTTCTGCAGCTTCTTGATCTTGTCCAGGCTTTCGAGCTCCTCTCTTTGCTTTTTCACCAGCATGTCCGTTTCGATCATGAACAGCAGCCGGTCGTTGTACAAACGATTCCACAGCCGAATCTGGTCAGAGGTGCAGTTCACTGTGTCCTCAATGTCCAGGAGTTTCTTATAGGTGCGACATCGAGTGTCGGTCCAATTCTCTTGGATGATCACTCCACGTAGCGCAGAATCAATCTGCATGTTCTCATTGTCGCCAACCACTTCTCTCAGAAAGCGCTTCCAGCGTCGTTGGTTCACCTCATTTTCGACACTCTCCTTGATTTGGTTCCAGCGAATCCATTCAGCTTCATTGACTTCAGGGTCGTCGTTCACAGATGAACTTCCAGCGTCGCTGATTCTTTCATCCACTGCCAGCTCTTCTCCTCCAAGATCGCCATGGCGCGGCAGCGAGTCGATCTCAGGGACTTCGTCATACTGTGTGCTCTCATCCCTGACAATCAGGTCGTCATTCTCAGGCTCTGCTTCATTCTCAGGCTCCTCATGGATTTCAATCTCATTTCTTGCAGCGCGAGGGATAACACGCCTGAGCACGAACTGGCCAAAGGTGGTCACAAACACATAGACCTTGTAGGTCACAAACTGCAAACCAACAAACGAAAAAAATACCACCACCAACAAAGTCCACCACAGGCGTTCATCTCTGAAGTTCTTCTCCTCGAAGTCCAAGGGCATAGCTTGAACTCCAGCTTTGCTCAATGCATGCGTAGCCAACAAAGCCACGGACACTCTTGCAGTCTTCTCCCATAGGTCTTCACGTAGACCTCGGCGATGATAGTCTTTGTAGTAGTGTCTTCGACTGCAATATCGATGGTGTCCTTGGTCGGTTGTGAGCTTCTTGCCGCAACCTGGCAACTGACAGATCTCTTTGGGAATCTCTTCAACCTCCAGCACTTCTCCATCGAAGAGTCGGCAAGCGGCTTCATCTTGCTCTTTCTCTTCATCTGCTTTGACCTCCTTGGAGACCTTTTTGGCTGCTGTGAAGTTGGGGTCATACCGAAGTGCATGTACTCCTCGTCTGAGTATGTGAGCGAACTGGTCCTTTGCACTCGGCTTGGTCAGACCGTCTGCAACTTGTTGAGTGGAATTGACCCACTTCAGATAGCCCAACATGGCGTTGAGCCGCTCCTTCACGATGCAAACCTCAATGGCCGTCCTCTTCTCGGTCAAACGTAGACCAGCGGACACAGAGCGGGCTGAGTCGAACAAGGATTTTGCGTCTGTCAAAGCTGGGGTCTGTCCAAACATCCTCAAAGTGTTCTCCTCAGCGATCGGCACGGTGGGACAAACCATGGCTGCAGCATAGATCTTCGTCCATTCTGTCTCATCGATGGCACCAGCTGCAGACTGTGCTTCAGCAGACAGGGACGAGCGACACATTCTCGTCAATTTCTTTGAGTGCCAGCTGACCAACGTCAAAGGAAATGGCTTGCCATCGGTCATCTCAACCTCAGTTCCAACAAAGATGGCGTGACCGCCTTGGGAAGCTCCATCTGGCCGAATGCCCCAACTGGCGTCCATGTATACACCAAAACGAAGCTCGGCCAAGGAGGATCCATGACGTCGAAGAGTCATGCTGTAGCCCTGCACAACGTCCTTGGCAAACCTCAAAAGCTTGTTGGCGACATTGATGTCATTGACCGTTGGGGAACTAGAAGAGGCCTGAAGCAAAGAAATTGAGGCTGACGGCTGAGGAAGGCACTGGCCAGCAGGCCAAGCCAAAGCTCCGATCAAAGCTCTGAGCATCTTCACTTCCTTCTCTTCGAGCGGGGCATCACTCATGGTCTTTCGGCTCTTATCAAGAGTGATGGGCTTGATCTTGTGGACGTATTCTTTGAGCGACAAAGTTATCACGTCATCGTTCAGGCTCTGTTCGATGGATGTGCCACAAAAAAGAATCTGTGAGTTCCTTCCGAAGTCCCAGGAGCCAAATCTGAACTTCTTTGAGAGCATTTGCAACCTCTTCTTGAAGCACCATTCGAAGTTTTCCTCCTCCGTCACATTGGCTCCGGTTGCATCTTCAACGGAATTCACTCCTTCTCCGCAGCCTAGGAAATCATCAACATGAAGTCCCAAAATACCATCGACAATGCTGGGCACACCACCATGCGAAAACACCTGAAACTCTGGATCATCACTGTACGCCCTTCTCACACTCAAGAAAACGCAGTTGTCCAGAGGATGCACCAAAAACTTGGCTTCTTCCAGCAAAAACTCTCGAGCAGATTCGTACCATTGACGAGGGGCACGAACATCGCCAAATGCTGGCTTCGTTGCTTTGAGCAGCTCCCAAGGTTTCAGGCCCATCAAGCGTTCCAGTCGTCTCCTCATCTCTGCAGTTGGCCTGATGAAAATGCGGGTCTGCTCATCAATTGATTTTGACTGCATAAAGGCGCTCTTGACATCGGCTGCAAACACTTTCCAGCTGAATTGACATGCCCAAATCAAAATCAACATGCGACCGGTCCTGCTCAAAGTCGGTGACTCACGATCCAGCTCTTCAGTCAGCACATCTTTATGGCGGAAGCCCTGGATGATGACTCTGGCATTTGCCACTTTTCCAGTTTTGGTGGGCTTCCATCTCTGGAGAAATCGTGCTGGAATGACTTCACCTTCACGAGCTTCGGATTCGTTTACAGCTTTCCAGGCAGCATTGTCCAGCCACACCTGTAAGGCCTTGTCTTTGGCCAAGTCGAACTCCTTCTTCTCTTCGGCACTCAGCTTCTTCTCATTGAAGGTGTCGGCCATCAGCTCTTCGTCCTCCTCCATGGGTTGACTGCTTTGCCACAGCCGTTGAAAACCAGGGTCGTCTTCTGCCACAGGACCCATGCCATCTAGCTGACGTGCCATGTTGTAGGATCTAAAAGCTTGTGCCTTCTCATCTCTCATAGGTGGACTCCTCGATCTTTCTCTGCTTTGCTTCACCTCAGGCTCTTGTGAGATCTCTTTTGACTCTTCGGCTTCCTGCTTTGCTTCCGGCATGTTTTGATCACCTTCTTCAGGAATGCTAGGGATCGGCTCCTCAATCATCAGATCATTCAGTTTGGCTTCCTTCTCGTCATTGGGGTCCTCAAGGTTGTCAGCCGTTGGTTCCACAGCAAGAGAAGGTGGTCGTTGTTCAGGCTGATGTTCAGGCTGAGCACTCGAAGCATTCGCGAAAGAGGGACCCCCAGAGGACGATGAAAGTGCAGCAGGAGCGAGATCCAAAAAACGTACGGGACCACGAACAGGTTGTAGGACCTGACGAATGGTGTCCTGTACAGGGCGATCCAGAGCAGTTTCGGGAAAATGCTCCAACCGGGCAAGTCGTTCGCGAGGAAGCTCAGGTCGTACGTGTTCGGGTGCAACACGAACCAGTGAAGAGCCATGGGCTACCCAATAGACACTCGGTCGACAGGCACCTGAATCGGTCACACGAGGCTCAATCATGCACAGGATGGCCGGTCCACGCCAGCGGGAAGGTTCGAGCTTTTGGTCTCCTTGCCTCCAGTAGAAGACCCATGAGCCGAGAGACAAAGGTTCATGTTCGGCACGAGGTCGAGCAAGGAGTGAGCGACGAAGCAAAGCGTCATGATTGGCTGAATGGAAAGTCTTAGCAGCAGCAACTCTCATGGTGACATTCTCTTGAACAGCCACCGGAAGCTCTGGGCGTAGATCTTGTGGTTCATCAAGTAGGCCTGACACCGCATTGGGGGCACGACCAAAGACCATCTCGGCAGGTGAAGAGCCGTGTACAGTTCTCAAACGATTTCTTTGGTCACAGGCCACACGAATGGCGGTGTCGAGCTTGATATCAGGCATTTCTTTCCTCATCTTGAGAAGCTGCAATCTGCGAACTGCATGAAGGCGTTCAATGGTTCCCAGGCGATAGTGTGCCTCCTTTGGAATCAAAACAAGTTTGATCTTGTAGCCGTCCATGGCATCGATGAAGTTTTGGCTCATGTGGGCACCTGAGGCATCAGTTTTGAGCTTGATTGGGAATCCAAAGGGATGGAACCACAAGTCTTCGATGATCTTCAGTTCAGCAGCTTCTGTCTCTCGAGGCAAGACAGCGTTCACTTCATATTTGGTGAAGAGGTCGATGATCGCGAGGATCTTGACTTTCTCATCTCCCCATTTCAAGTGGAAGGTGTCCATCTCGATAACTTCATTGAAGTAGCTGGCTTCGTCGAGGGAAGCAGGATGAGCCAACTTCTTTGGAGCTTCGCTCTGACAAATCTCGCAGGTGAATTTTCGAGCACATTGGATCACCTCCTCGGGGAATTTGGCACCTTTGAGAGCATGAATCAGTTTTTCGCGCCCAGGATGGCCGAGCTGACGATGCAATTTGTTCACGATTTGCCAAGCTTTTCTTCCGTGGGTTCTCATCAGCTCTTTGTCTTCTTTCTGAACATTCTTTTCTTCTTCTTTCTCCTTTCTCACCTCCAGCTCGTCCAGCTCGTCAGTCACGAAGATCTTCAGCATCTCATTGTCATGCCATCTTTTGCACATGTCACTGTAGATGGCATCAGTTGCACGCTGAACAAAGCCTCTCTCATAGTTCTGCATTTGCTTGAGTTCACGAGATCGGCCCTCCATTTTCACATGCTCTCCAGGAGCGCAATTGCAGGTGAGGTTCAAGGCATCATACATCAGTGGACTGTTCGTCCGAATGCGAGTTGGTTTCTTCACTTTGCCGATCATGCCATTGCTAAGCTTCACACACAAGCCAGTCTGGCATCGGTCGCATTCGGCGTCCATCAAATAGGTCATGTCCATCTCTGACATAGTTTTGGTCTTCCAAGACTCTGCTCCTCGTGGATGTTCCATGCTGACACCAAGTCCAGCATCGGCACAGACATAGAGGACCTGTGCCACGAACTTGAGGTGATCTTTTTCCTCCTGACATCTTTCTTTCTTCAACTTTTCTTGAGCTTCAGGCGTCAGGGCATTGAGATTCTGCATGGATGACCACTTTGTGCAAGGAGGTGCAAGCCAGACATGCTCAGGGCGAATGCGCTTCAGCAGGCTGATGAAACTTTCTTGTGCCTCGATGGTGCGGAAGTCCCAATCAGGCAAGGTGAAAGTTGCCACTTCCACATCCTCATGCTCTTGAACCAAAGTGGTTGCCAGTCGTCCTTCATCCACATACACCTCGAAGAAGTTCATCTTGGGCTTCGAATGGATGTTGGTGAGCACCTCATGGATCAAACTTTCATCTTCGAAATCCAGCTGCACCCACTCATTGGTGTCTTCCACCTCCTTTTGAATGCTAGGTCCGATCTCCCAGCAAGTTGTCTCTTCTCGCATGATCACTTGGATCTCCTCGGGGATGGCCAACGCCTCTTCAACCAAGCTGGTCTCGTCCATGGTGTCGTTCTCAAACAGGTTCACGATGTAGTGTCCTTTGCGGCCACGTTCAGGCTTGAACCAGTCGGAATTCATGATGCGCAGCATACCCTTTTCATAGTCTTGTTGAACTTTCCACTCTTCAAGCGTAGGTCGGGCCAAAAGAAAGGGTGTCTTTCCTGGCACCACAGAAGCAGTCACGACCAAATCTTGTCCTTGAAGAGCTACCGGAAAGGTGACATCATAACTTGATCTCAGAACTTCACCACCCCCAAACTTGAAGTCACGGGTGGCCTCAGTGATCTTGACATCCAGGGCACCTGCGAAGGATAGCCATTCCTTCCAGACATCTTCGCCAACGATGGTCCTGGTAGCACCTGAGTCGATGATGGCCTGTCCAGGAAGTAGTGCCGCAAAGTAGCACTCATCAACTGTTGCATTCTCCTCCACCATAGAAACTTGTTCTTCAGGAACTTCTTTGACGCCATTGGACTGAACTCTGAAACGTTTGAAGCGAGGTCCATGTTGGCCGGTAGAGCCAGACAAGGTCGACTTGATGTCGTTGATGTTCGAGCTGTTGCTTGAACTGGTAGGTCTCCGCAATCCGGACATAGGTCGACGGTTGTCAAAGGTTCTGCGGAAGCCACTCTTCCCTTTTCCTTTTCCTTTCATGGAACTTTTGCCTTTGCCCTTTCCTTTCGAAGAACTTTTGCCTTTTCCTTTTCCTCCTCCTTTGCCCTCGACATCAGGACCGAGAGCTACCACGGGGAAGAATCCTCTTGAGAGGGCCAACTCTCGCATTCTTCGTCGGCTGTCCAGGTAGGAGATGAAAGCTTCATCGACAGCGTCAGCTGCCTCGTCCATTTCTTCAGGCCACTCTTCATCTTCTTCGTAGTGGATCTCATCTTCCCACCATTCCAAATCTTCTTCTTCATAGAAGCCTTCTTCATCGTCGATGTCATAGTCGTCCTCGAACATGACGTCATTGGAGCTGCCAGTCATCTTCATGAGATCTTTGGGATTTGGCCGATGGTCTCCTCCGAACATCTTCATCAGCGCCTTGTGGACTTTCTCATACTCCAGCTCCCCCTGGCATAGTGCCTTCACCTGGACATGAGTCCAACGAGGAACACCGGCACGGGTGAGAAGATGCCAACCAGATAGGAGAGCTGGCATTTCCACTCCAACTTCCTTCATTCTCTTCAACAAAGTCCGGTGCCTGACCAGGTAGGAAGTCATGTCCTCATTCTTTAGGCGCTGGAACTCGGCAAAGAACTCTTCACATCGAGTTGGAACCTCAACCTGTTGTTCATATTGATACAGGTTGTCCAGGATCTCATACACGAAGCTGAAGGGGCGACTGCTCCTTTCCAGGGCTTCGAAGGAGATTTGCTCAGTGGAATCCCAGGCCAAGTCCTGCAACCGAGAGATCAGGAGAAGCGTACCCTCGATGGCGGCGTCAACACTCCTTCTATGACATTGCCTCTCGAACAGTTCAACTCTTCTTCGAAAGCTTCTGTAGTTCTTCTGGTTGAGCTTGTCGGTGTCTGGACAAGCTTTGGACAGTCCAGAATCCAAACCTTTGTAGCTGCTGCCACCAGTTCGTCCGGGGGAACCTCCATTAGCACGAGGTGGTTGTAGTAGATCTTCAGGAAAGTCTTCTTCCCTTGGGGTCCGGACTCTTCTCTGCGTTCTCCTCGGTGGCTCCGATCTTTCTGCAGTCCCTGCGCCACGATTCATCGTAGCTGCCAAGCCGTACTCGAACGGTGAGATGTTCGCCTCTATGTCCTTTCACAGGATCACCGGGAGAACTTCAAACACGTGGTGCACCGTCCAAATACTCGGAGAGGATCGTGTCCAGCTCCGCTACCAATCTCGTTGTAGGGGATGACAAGCCCTCGAAGTCTCGATCCCGTCGAAGTGAAAAGCGCAGCGATTTCTGCGAAAGGCGTAGCGGTCGATTGGCGGTCAAGGGCCCTCGTAAGCCCAACAGCGGTTGGAAAACATGAAAATGGATCAAATCTACCAATGTGCATTCGTGACATTGACAGGTTGGTCTCCCGGACCACCCAACTCCCCAGTACAAATTGGGAGCAAGTGCAACTCAGAGAGGGTGGGCCGTGGACCTCATGTTCAAACAAATGGATGAATAGTGAACACCAACCGGGACCCAACAAACAGTTTGCTTTGCTTGGTGATTGCTGAAGCGTAACATTTCTTGCCCTACTTTGTGTGCGTGTTTCTTTGTTTATTTGTGTTCGCATTTGGTTGTAATCAAGAATTGCACGTCTCGAATGTGTTTTGAAACCTAAGTAAACATGCCCCAACCATTGACAAAAAAAACGGGCCAAATAACATCAGAGAACACATCTTCAACCAATTTTGGATTGTTCTAAGTTCTAACACCATGCCTTTGCCTGCCCTCCCGCAGGATTCATACCATGCAAAGATTAGGAAATCGATTTCTTGGTCTCATGCCTTCTGTTCGGTGAACACACCAAGCGTATGGGTCCCCGTTGCGGCAAATGGTAGAAACACCACCAGCTATAGATCAAAAAATAAGCAGAAACTATACGGACTATACGTGTATACTATTCATGCAAATTCCTGAGTTCCATCTATGAATGAACAATCCCGGATCGGGCCAGTGTGTCAACAACCAATTGTTGTCTGCAGTTTTTAGCTTTTGGGTTGGGCATCTTTATTCACAGAACGTTTTCCAGGGCAGGGGGCGGCAAACTGATTGAAAAAACTTGTCTATTGTTCACACCTGCATAGGTCTCTGTCACGTTCCGTCGCCCCACTTGTTGATACCAACATGTTGGTTCCGAGGGTGCACTGAATTCTGCACATGTCACAAACTATAGGAGCAAGAAGCTACTAGGGGCTCCTGGCCATACTACTAGGAGCAAGGACGCTACTACGGGCTCCTGGCCTTGCTACTAGGAGCAAGAAGCTACAAAAACCTCCAGCAACTGCGGAGGCCCCGGCTGACACGTTCGCTGCCGGCCAAATCCACCAAGGAGAGCTTCCCCGTGCGCTGGCGCGGTGAGTTCGGTGCGGTGCGGTGCTTCAAATGGCAAAGCCAATGAACAATGATGATATTGCCTGCAATGCTAGTTTTCGTTGTTTCTACCCATGTTTTTGATTTCTTTTGTGGATTTTGCAACTACGAGTAGTTTCCCCCTATGTGGTCTTAGGAAGGTTCCCAGCAGTGTAGTCGCCTGGTGCCTCTGAGGAGGGTGCAATTCTTCTGTGGCGGCTGTTTGGCTATATTTTGGCAGTTGTTTCGTTATGTTTCGTTTAGTTTTTTTGCGGTTTGGTTCACATGGTTTGGCTTAAAAGAACTGGAGGAGGGTGTGGGGAGGGGTAGGGAGTAGCGGCTCCCCCGAACCAAATCAGCCGCTCACGAAGGAGGAACCCTCATCCCGTTGCTCTTAATATCTATAGTTGGCAGTTTGCTGGGCCTCCAGGTGGTGATCACCAAGGAGGAACCCTTGTCTTGTTGAGAGAGTCACAACCCTCTTGGGTCCACCAGGTGCCCTTTTCTTTGATATTTCAACTGAAACCTCCCAAACCCTCAACAGCGCCCCCACCTCTCGACAGGCCTCGGTGAGGCTCCGACGCGAGACCTCGGTGCGGCCGCGTGTGCGCATCGACCGGCGCTTTGCAGCGGGTTCGGTGGCAGTACTGGCACGGTGGTAGCGGAAGTGAAGATCCGGATACAGTTACAATGTTCACATCACCATATTTCTCCCACAAGTGGCGTCAAGCTCGAGTTGCTGCGGTTTTCATACCTGCCCAATTTAGTTTTGCCACTCTCCTGCCTGGTGTTGACCAAACTTCCCAACGAGCTGAACTCTACACAGTTTTGTTGGCCCCACTGGCTACAACGGAGATGTAGTGATCGCTTCCGACTGTCAAAACCGTTGTCGCCTGCTTTCGCCAAACAAGTTCACTTTCGTCTGCAGGCTGAGTGCTCGGACAATCGGGGTTTGTGGGATTTCATCTGCGCTCACGTTCTTTGCCGATCCGGCCAAGTTGAAAAATGGTCAAAGTTAAGGCCCACTGCAGTGTTGGTGATTTACAGCAGCCGGATCACTCGTGGAAACTCCGAGGCCGACAGGCTAGCCACAGAGTTTTGGGAACCTCGCCAGCTTGAGCAAGACGATGCCGTGTCAGCAGCTGTGGCCACCCAAGTTCACATCATGTTGACTTTGAGTATTGCCAAACGACAGTCAGAATACAAAGGACCCAGAGTTTCCTCATCTTTACAAGTGCACCGGTGCCCCCCGAATCCGTCTGCGTGGGAAACAGCATGTTACGCTGATGCAACAGCACCTTGAGGATATTGAGCATCATTAACCCATTTTCACTTTGGCTTGTGGCGTTGACCCTCGAAATCAGAAGCTCCATGTTGACATCACCCCTGACCGGCTAGTGTCAACGTCGTATGACTGTGGGTTTAGCTCGAGACTTATTGATGTTTGTGACGCAAACAGAATGGCTTATACCCTCAGAACCGGAAGGACCTCGCGTCCCATGGCTCTTGCTCTTCCTCCCTTTCTGTAGTCACACTCCGCCTGTACATAAAGTCACAGCACATCCGTATGCATGTTCAGATCTGCCCTGGGATGGATTTGGAACTTGCAACGCATTGACGACGTTCTCAGTGCAAAGCACATCTCTTCTTTGCAGGAGCTTAGTTTAGCTGTTGTTCTATCACTTTCGTCAATCCTGTCCCTAAGGCCCTAGGCCCTATCTCATTCTTCCTTGTCCGTTTTCAATCGCTTGTAACTCGGGAAACCCCCCAAATTGTGAGTTTGCTTCCATTCAAAATATCACCTGGATTAGTTGGTGCTCTGTGCTCTCCCATTTTGCTGGCTGTGATCCTGCATGGTACCTTGGCCTCAAGACGCAGAAAAGAAACAGTGATACAATTACCAACCCCATGTTTGCAAAAACACTAATTCCTTTAATTCGAGTGGTCCCCACCATGACTTTTCAATCTGCAAATTTTCTGGCATGTATTGAAACATTAATTGTGGCATTCTTTCTGGCATATCTTCTAACATTCTTTCTGACATGTTTCTGACACATCTTCTGACATTCATTCTGTCATGCTATCTGGCATATCTGCTGACATTCTTTCTGGCATATCTTCTGACTCGCGGCGCAGGAGGAGAAGCAAGGCAGCTGACATAAAATCTAACAACCCTCACCTTACACGTGGGGAATAAACTCAACAGTGTAACAGTGTCAACTACAAAGTATATACTGTCAATACAATTATAAACTTGAGTTACTCCTCTACAATTAAACAACTACTTTAAGCATCTCAAAAACATATTTATTAATTGGTTAAGTAAAAACACCAAGTTTACTTTATTACATTGTCTGAGCCAAATAGCTCGAAACAATCAAATTCCTTGATCTAAAAATCAATCAAACAGTGTTCGCAAAGAGTCCCCCTTCTGAAGACCTAAAGCATACAATTGTAAACACCTGCCAATAATTCACCTCTTGCCACCTTGAACTATTAAATAGTTTGAATTGCTTTTAACTTCGATCAATGTAAAACAAGAGTATACAGCTGTCACCGTCTTAAGGTCTGAGGTTAAGCATTGCGAGTCGTTTACGCACCCTCGTCTTAAGGGTTCACCGAACTCCACAAGGGGGGAGGGGGGAGGTTTATTGTTGCGAAGTGAACATGATATAGATTCAGGGGGCACAGAGGTAAGTCCAAAATCAAGCGCAGAGGTAAAACCAAAATCAAAGCACAGAGGCAAGACAAGTCCCTAAAGAACCTAATGTACTGCATGCCAGCACCCTGCTTTCACCCCCCCCAAAACACTCAAAAGTCAGTAAAGAAATCAACACGTCTGAGTTCGAACGGAAATCGATCTGCTTATGTGAGCTCCATATGGCACAAGAAACAAAATCCCAAAATGATCAAGGTACGTGTCGCCACTTTAAAGAACCAAACACCCCGGGTTAGAGTTGGTCTCCTGAACCCTGATTTGTCTAATGATTTCACTCTTTAAGACAACCTGGGGTTTGATCTTTTGCAGGACATTTGCACGGGGATGGTGTACTGTGGACATATATATATATATATGCTCCTGTGCAAAAAGCAATATGCACGCATATATGTAGAATATAATATATATATATATATTTATTTATAATATACTAGAGCTTCTCTTCATCAACTTGGACCCTGAGATAATTCTGGCCGACAAGAGAGACGCATGGAGATTGGCAAATTAAGCAGCGACTTCTGCAGACTCATACCCCAGTCAGCCAAGCTTGAAGGAACGCAGCAACTGTGAGAATGGAGAAGAGCACTGGCAGTGCGGTAAACAAAATACTAGCTCACTGCAATTGTGATGTGCCAATGGTTCCAAGTGTATAGTATCGTCCACCGAAACAATTTGCCAGCACAATTAGTCAATTTCGACGTTGCCACATCTATTTCCGGTATTGCCTCCAGCACATATGTTTCATCCGTTGGTAGCTGGCTACATGCTTGAAAGATCTTGAAAGCAGGTGAAGGGAAAAAGAACCATCGTGAAATCACAGTTAACCCCTTTGATACGTACTGTCCGTTGCTGGGGCAGTGGTGGAATCCTCCAATTCGCTGGTGATTGAGGCAGTGCAGCGAAACGGCTGGGTGGGGTGAGCCTTCTGTGGCCGTTTCAGGTCCCAAATAGGTCACCGACACCCGCCGGGGTCACCGGCGTAGAGGGTGAAAATGGCATGTGACCTGCGGATGGCAGGTGGCCAGTGCAGCAAGTGTGTTTGTGCATATGATGATCATCCAAGAACCACTGGAGGCATGCTGAACCACGTGCACAATTCCATTCAGAACGCCTGAACACATACTCGTAGACTGAAAAAACCCGTGGTTGATGCAAGAGTTCTCACCTGGCCCAAGCACTGCACACTTTGAGCGACCTGTTTCTCAATTGGTTCCAGCTTTTCCCACCAACTCTTCCTTTAGAGCTCTACCACTGAAGAATCTATGATCCTTCAGGGCTCCAACGACCTCCATTTCGATGGTTGGGGTGCGGTGGGTTTGGGAGTTTAGCTACCTTCAGATGTGGGCCAGGGCGGCTCCTGGCCGCAGGATGCCAGAAAAGTCAACGTTCTGACTGTTCCTCCTGTGTTCGAAACGTCCCTCCTGTGCCGAATGGTCAAACTGTAATCCAAGACTTGGCTGATAAAAAGCTGCCCTCCCTTTTCAAAAGGCCTGGAGGAATAGGCATTTTGCCGCGTGGCCGCCTCAAACCGTTGGCGGCTGACTTGACGCTGGGCAGGTTGAAACAAGGACGCCAAGAGAAGAAAAACTTATTTTAACAACTCAAGACTGGAATGTCTATCACTTACTTATATATATTGAAATATTATTTTTTTTTTTAACTATGTCTTTTCTGATTGTTCAAAAAGAGTTACCTGGTACCTGCTCAGTCTTGTTCATAATTCCGCAACAAGGCATTGTCAATGGACCAACATCCGTTTGATCCGAACCAATTCACCAGAACTGGACCGTCTCTGGCTGCTTTTCCACATCGCTCATGTTCAGCCTTTGCTTGAAGTTCCCTTCCACTCGCAGCCTTGCTCGATCGCCCAAGCCCGTCCGAGGCGCGACAGATCTCCAAGCGTTGCCAGTGTCCAAAGCCTTGAGGATGTCGCCACTGCTGGTGATCTCATCCTGGTGATCTCATATCTCATGAAAAGGAAACGGCTTTTTTTATGGGGGGGGTCTCAGAGGGTTCGGGTTCATCTTTGTTTGATGCTAAGGCCATGGGAGATACAAAACATGAGGGCATGGGGGATGTTCTTCTTTGTCTCTTCTTTGTCATATTGGTCATGTCATCCGACCACCTGGGGTGGAAGTGGGAGGACGGACACCTGCATTTATCAATCCCATGCGGGCTGCGGGGGCGACTTATCTTCCATGATCTTTTACTTAAGCTATCTTAAGCTACAAAACCTGCATAAGCGATGGGGGCCGATCCATTCCAGGCTAGGTCCTTATGAGGCTAGGACAGTAGATTTCCTGCAGCACTCATGTGTTTGTCTTCGGTCTTCTGAGAGTATGGCTTCTGAACAAATGGTGACCGTTGAAGTTTCTGCTGAGACCCCATATCGACCCTCCCCTTCTCAGAACTTTCAGAACTTGCACCCTTGGAGCCAACGCCCCAGTCTTTGGTGATGCGATTCGTCACAAGTCCTGAGTCAAACCGTCCACGATCAAGCCCCTTTGGGGAATCTCCTTGATCCGTAAACCTCAGTCTGAAATCGAATCGCGGAGCATGAGGAAATCTGACTTTCGAAGAATCCTGACGGGTCATCAGATATCATGACAGGGAAATCTGATGATTCTGGCCGCGATGAAGAACTTGATCAATCGTCACGGTACACAAAACTTGCCAAACCAGCATGGCAAATGTAATGACCTGCAAGAAAACATGCGATCTAATCGTCTCAACGGAGGACAAAAGATGGTGGAAACTCTGTTGGTCGAGCACCTTTTTTTCTTGGTCAACAAACATGGCAAAGTTCCACATTCAGGACTCGGAGACTCGTGTTCTTTCGGCTGAAGCAGCTTCATCGTTTGAACCTCCACAGGTCCGGTGATGGGGCTTGGCCAAGCCGCCGGAGCCGTCGATTGGTGGTTCACGTCATCGTTTTGAGGCGATGGGTCGGTACGGCTGCGTCTTCCGTTTCTTCGGAGCCATGGGGAGGCTTTCCCACAAGATCACCTCTTTCCCCATCGTTTTGGCTTAAGCCAAGGCGCTCTGGTTGGAAGGATGAAGCAAATCTCGCATGCGTTCTCGATAGATCCTCAAATCGGCACTAACTGCTGGGGCCGGCGTTCGGGTGTCCCCGATGCGACCCAATTTCCTTCTTGAGTCGAACTGGGAGGTCTCCCTATTACGACGCAAGCTGCTTGACCAACCGGTCAAGCAACCCACCTAACCCATCGACCAAGGCATTGAGCTCGCTGGAAAGTCGTTCCAGAAACAAAAAACAGAAACACAACAACATATATACACATAATCATATGTATATATATATATATACATATATTAGGTTATGGCATATTATGGCAGTAAGTTATATAGCCATATATAGCCACTTGTTTCATGCATGGCCAGCATATTCTGAACAAAAACTATAGCCAGAAGATGCTAGAACATGCTAGAAACTACTTTTTATGGGGGGACTACATCTTATGCCTTTGCAAGCCCCTTTGTGCAAAGCATCATATGAGATGGAAAGTGCAGCTGGGTCCTGGGTGCCTCTCCAGTTCCACGCAGCCACATCACACAGAACTGACATCGGATCAACCTCCGGCCATGCGCCATCGCTCCTGTCTCCCGGCGGCCTCCGGAAAAATAGAAAAAGAAAAGGAAAGGAGACACAGCACCTCTGAACGAGCCTTCAAATCGATTCAAATTTTCGGGCAGCAATGGGGGAGTGCCATCCGGATCCTCCTCCGGATCCTCCTCCCAGGATCCTCACTGGGCGGCCGAACTCCAAGAAACTACATTGGATAGTGGACTCCTCCATTTCCTCGGCAGGCTGGAGAGATGGTTGCAACATAAAGACTTGAAAGTCTTTTCTTTAAGCCTTTGAGCGACATGGGACCTTCCACTGATGTTCTTTTAGTACGAGAAATGCATAGTTTAATTTGTGAGCCTTGTAGTGCCGTAGTAGGTTGTAGAAGTTGTGATGGATCCATATAGGACATGATTTCCGGTGAACTTCATGCTTGAAGCAAGTCAGGAGGCCTGTACCATCATATACTCGTAATCTTCTGGCTCACTGGCACGTGGGGGTGGAGTCTCACCACGGTGAATCTCGGAATCCAACGAGCAAGGTCTTAACCCATTGACCTTCCAAACGAACTCCAGAAGCCCACTTTTGGACTACCAACCACCCAAAAAGCCTATCAAAGCAAAGGTCAGAGGATTTCAAGGCCATTAAATCTGTATCCTGTATCTCTCTCTATACTTATTTTTGCTTTCCTTCCCGCCATTCAGTCACTCTGCATCCCAAATTCCGTTCTCATTGCCTTGCCTTGCCCCATTCCCTTCTGGTTATTCTCATTGCTCCGGTTTATTCATCGTCCTTCCTCTTTCTTTGCTATTCAATGTTTGTTTCCTTTGCTTTGCACTATTATGTCTTGTTTACTTTCCAACATTCAATTTATTGTAATTATATGTTTTTCCCAGTTGTCCCAATATAGCATCATCATTCCATGTGAAACGCTCCAGATCATGAAACTACATTGTGTATACATCATTCACTACCAAAAAACACTATGCATACAATCCAGAAACACAGAAAGTGCATACAATCCAGAAACACAGAAAGAGAGAACCATCCTTTTGGACCCATCGAACCTTTGAGTTGCCCAAACCAATCGAACCTTCCGGTGCATATGGTGCCTGTGGTGCCGGAAGATGCCAAGATCCCGAGGGAGCTTCGCCAAGCTTCGCTGGACAAGCACTGCTGCACCTCAGTAACCCAGTTGCCCAGTCGCGCAGCGGCCGATGTGGGCTCCTTGCAGACTACAGGGAAGGTGAGGTGGTTGACCTGTTGACCCTGTAAAGGAAACCATTGAACCCATTGGAAGGCGACTTCATCGGGCAAGCTTTTGCGGTATGGGACTTCATTCGGATGTTCTTACACATCAAGAACCGATCCACATAGGGGCAAATCTAACTCCTGGATGGACAGTGAACTTTGGGTGCATCTTATTCCCTGTAACAGTCAACATTATGATGGTTAGTAAAGAACATATAGTGATTTGCTTGTTTACCGCCTGTTACAGGTTTACTGGGATACCCCCAAAGTCAACTGCAGTAGTTTCAGAGTAGATGAGTAGATGGCACAAACCCCAAGAGGTCCTTTAGATGGGGGTCCATATATATATATAATTTGGGGATTGTGCCATCTACTCTGAAAACCACTATAAATTACTACAGTTGGGGAGTCCCATGGGATTCCCAATCGACTAAAACGCTGAGGTCTTTATTGCTGAGGCCTCCAGCCAGTTCCTCTGCAGCACGGGGCGCCAAACCGCGCAACGTCGGCCTGAAACGGGACGCCGACCGGGCGACGAGGTCGTTGGAGAAGCGTCCCCAAATCCTCATCCACATGTCGAAACTGCTTGGGCTCATGAATGTCCATCAAGGCCACGATTTGGATCAATATCTCGTGTCATACACATCCCCCTAAGAAGAAGCATCAGTGTTGCCTAGCCTTTGAAAAACGCCCAAAGATCCGGGAAAAGCGGCTGGCCTGTCACTGTTTGCGCATTGGACCAGGGGAACCATGTACCGTAGATACCAGGTTTGCGCAAATGGCAAGAGCAGAATCCGAGATCTCCGGGGGGTCCGCCGGACGCGTCCGGGAGAATGCTGCCATGAATGATGGGATCACAAAGATTGCAATATATTGCAATGTATCAATGTCCAATAGCCTGAAGGTAATTCACTCTATACATCTCTATACTTCTCTGTCCAGTCCAAAGGAGTACAGTATCCTGAAGAACACACACCAAGCAAACTGCCACGTGCTGTGACCTTTTCTTCGTCACCATGGATTCCCGTTTGATCCCCAAGAATCAATCCAAGCGGCTCAGTGAAACTACCAAAGAGGCTGAAGGTCTTGCCACTGCCTGTCTGACCTGAATGGTGCAGGAGCGCTTGTTTCTCAATTCGGGCTACCGCCCTTAGCAACAAAAACATAAGTTCTCAGCTACTGCCTTTAGCCACAGTTGGAAAAAGGAAAACTGTCTCACAAAAAGAATGTCTGCAAGCCTGAGTAAATGTAGGCCACTTCCAAAATTATTCCAGTGATTCGTTTTACCTGGCCCACGCAGAATGATTCTGTATTGGCTTTGCCCTATGTGCCCTCAAAGGCTACTGGGGTAAATAGCCCTCAACTACAGTAATTCGTTCTAAAGGGCCAAGCAACCATGAGATCCAAGTACCATCATATGAACAAGTCCAGTGACCGGATCACCCTCGCTGTTCCTCTACCACCGCCGGCTGCAAAGAAATTCAGTGCAAGGAGTCACCTCCCGACATTCTGATTCACCCGCTCTTCTTCACGCTTTGCGTGGAATGTTCCCTGGTGCTTCGCCCAAATATCCCACACCGGTCACCGTGAGACCAGCGCAGCCTGCGCAGCGCGTGCGTTTCGGGAACCCGAGCCATACATCAAGATGGTCCCGTTGTAGCCTGTCGAGCCGAGCCGGATGTTCACGGTTGTGAAGGCACGTCACACGAAGCATTAGATCCAGGTGGATAGATATGGATCTGTCTTGTGATACGAAAGACTCTAATTCTTATGGTGATGATGGTACTTCAACTGTTTACGTATACGAAGAACAAATAACATTACACAACCCCCATTTGGATTACAAACCCTCTTGATATTGGAGATTCTAGAAATTCAGAGTCCACCAGTCGAGTGTTTTTTCGTCGTACTGAAAGACAATGCCCCAGTAATTGGTGCCTTGGTGGTGTTCCTGCAGCGGCAGGCAACAGCAGTCCTCTTCGAACTCTCACTCTGGTGTTCCGAAGGTCGAGGAAATGGGAGCTGCAGCTCTCGTTGGCCGCATCCGAATCAAACCGCCTGTACCTGTTGGCCAAAGGAGAATCAACCTCTACCACCTCTACCTTCTACAAGTAATTCTATAAGTGATTATAAGTGTGTGTTTCATGATTTAGGATTTCGAACCCGCCATTTGGTGCAAATCACCGGCACGTATGGGATTGAACCACAAAACTGTGCAACATTCTTATCACTTCCAAGTAAATCACGATGGAAGTACGCGGGGGCTCAGCACAGCTGGAATATACACGTACACAGCCTTTGAGTCGAAGAAACATGTACACAACATGTACGCAAATATAGACAATAAGTGTCAAATAGTGTCAAGGACCTCAAAACAGGGGGTATACTGACCCCAAAAAAGAGACCATGGTAGAAAGGTGCATCTACAGGGAACCTCCCTTCTATATCTAAACGAACACGCTATACAAGTCACACCCATCTACAAGGGAATTCCGAATCGCTGTCTGGCCTGGTCTCCCTGTCGTTTCTGTTTCCCGTCTCCAGTCCATCTCCGCCGTTTCCGATCGCGCAAACCGGCAAAAGCAGCTTTGTTGCGGGCCACTACGTGTCGAGCGAGCAGTTGGGACCCAAAGACAGGCCGGTGAAACATGGAACTTCATTGGTTGGCCACCGATGATCCCAGGTCATCTTTCCAATTTTCTTCCCCAGCAAATTCATCTGATGCCAGATCTTAGACCAGCATAGATCCCCAAATAGTTTCAGCAGGACTTTTTGCGTAGGTCGTTGAATTCAAGTGTTGGTGGAAACACCTGTTCTTAAACTACATATTTTCCGATAGCCTCCAGCCGGTTGAGAACCGCATGCAAGCAAAAAAAGCTTCTGCTGGCAACGCATCACCCTTGCATTCATAGCAAAAGAACAAACCCAGACCCGAACAAGGCGGACAAGCCCGGACAAGGCAGAGAAGACATGGCACACGGCGCGGCCAAGCAGGACACACAGACCCCAAGAAGGCCTGGACCAGACAAGGCAGTGAAGAAAGGGGCGGACGGCGTGGCCACAGCTATTGTGGTCAGCCCGTTTCTTCCTAATAGAGAACCCCAACAGTAAACTGATTGGGGACACGGGGAAATCAACAGTTTGAACATGGACCAAAACGACCTTTGACTCCTCCAATCGCCAGAGGTGAACACTCTGAAGAGATTGTCTCAGATAGACCCAGACGCACCGGCGACCACTTCAAACATGGAACGCATCCGCGGCCTTCTTCATCCAAATCTCGTGTAAAGAACTTGATGGGTCTTCTGGTTTGCACAAGTGACTGTTTATTTTCGATGTGTTGAAAAGACATGAGGAGGATGTTCAAAATTGAACTGTCCAATAACAACATGAGGTCTGGCCGAAATGGGCATCAAACAAGTTTGAACTTGGAAAACGACTTATACAACCTTAATCAGCTATAACTATAAAAACCACGAACAAACCTCTGAAAAAAAGAGTCAAACCTGTCTGGCAAACTGCAACTGGTCACCTAGCCTCGTTATTTTGGAATGGTCACCTTTGATGTGGTATGCGGCCTAAAAGATCCGGCCCGGGGTGATTACTGTATATATACAGTACGTATATCATCGTATACGTATCTGGTCATACTACTGCACACTCCTGCCCCATGCCAGTTTCCCTTCGTGGGGAATGGAATAGATGTCTATCCCTGCAAAAATACACACCTCTTAGGATATGTGCACATCAGGCCAAACGGACAAACGGACACTCATCCCCCATTCGCAAGAACATGTCGTCATGCGCAAATCGCCGCTCGACCTCAACCCCTTGCCCTGGACCCGAGGTTAAGTCATACATGCGTCCCATGGTATGACAGGAGATGCCAGACTTACTGTACCGATCCAATCTGATTCAATCTCCACCGAAAATGACCTATACCGAGGAAACACCGTGTCACAAAAGCCGGAGAAACCGAAAAGCTCTCGAGATCTCAATCTGCTGACAAGCACGACGGCCAAATTATTTTTCACTGAGTGACCTGTATTCTGGACCACCCACCACGCAAAATATGGCCCTTGCCTATCAAAAGAACGTCAAACATGGGCTACAATAATAACATGAGCCACGCTGACATCACTAAGCATATTGCCTTCTGCATTCTGCAGCAAACACACTTTAATTGAGTGATCCCCACCATGTCATGTCAATCATATTCAATCATGTGATTTCGTGCCATGGTGAAGAGCATGTTGCCATGGTCGTGGGTTTTGTGGTTATCGATGTTGCTTGCGGGTCCTCGGGTTTGGGATTGTTATTTTAGTGTTAGGGAATTCGCGTCGGAGTGCCACCAGTGGGAGAAAAAATACACTTGAAACTCACTGGCTGGTGATCAAGCCCACCAGTTCAGCGAGTCCGAACCCCGCAGCCAGAACTGTTCCCCGAACGTCAGGTCAAGTCGAGTCTTCACCACTCAGGTCCAGGCATAGAGGTCTGGGAGCGAGTTAATACGCCAGCAACTGAGGGAAGCTGGTGAAAACCACCCCAAATCATGGCTTTCAACCATACAAATTAGGTGTCCGGTCAAAGCAGCATGGAAAAAGCGCTTCTCGATGCCGCTTCACGTCTCTGATCTGGACTGGGAAAAGCGACCCCCCTGCCGCGTTGAAGAGGGGAAGCCGGAGTCAGTCCAAACATCCAGGGAGTCCCACGACAGTCGAATTTGCTGAAGGTAGGGGAATGACGCTGAAGTACCAAACCGGGTACATCAATGTGCATACTGACTCCCAAGCCATTTCCCTAGAAAATACGGTGAACCTGTTTGGACTTGTTCTTGTTTAGCAGGGAATCCAACCACCCAAAAAGATTAAAGGTTATCTGCTGACTGAGTAGGAATACATATTCAGGACAATGACCTTTTTTGCAGAACTTTTTGGAGCTCCCAAAGCCCAGTGTCTTTTATTCATCCTGTTTCCTTGTTTGTGGATCCATAGTCGTCTTGACAGCCCCATCTCTTCGACTAGGCCCAACTACCCCATCTCTTTGACTATCATCAGACCGTCGCAGGAGGACTCCCCGGAGGGTGTGGCCAAAGATGCCCAATGCGGAGAACCACCGGATCCGGCCCTGCTCATTCGATCTCGTTGCTTGGCTCATTTACGGACTCCCACAACCTAATAGCAATGGCCTCCAACCTAAGAGCAATGGCCTCCAACCTAGAAGCGATGGCCTCCAACCTCATAGCGATGGCCTCCAACCTAGAAGCGATGGCCTCCCAAAAAGCGCCAATGACATCCAAATGACTATAAATAAAAGCTTTTCCACCTCTGAACCCAACCCCCCCTTGCCACCCGCTGGAGGCCCCTCCCTATCTATGGAAAACCTATGGACGCTTGAGTTCGACCAGTTTCTCCTCAATTTTACCAGTTTCAATTATAATTCAGGATGGACCAGGTCCAGCATTTGTTTCTGCCAAAATGAGTGGTTCCAAACTTCTATTTTAGTAAAAAATAATAAAGGTCCAAGTACTGGAGGGTCTGATGACAGAAATAGCTCTCGAATCCTCCAAAGGCCTCCGCATTCGTCTGCAAAGTGCCCCAGTTCGGCCGAATCTGAAGTGCATCGTCACGCGAAGACAGCGCCGCTTCTTTGGCCAAACCGATCGGAGCCAGTCTGCACAAGGTACAACCCAGTGGTTTTGGGGTTCCATGTTAATCTGCAGGGGAGTAACTTAGTGGATTCGCAACAGCGTGGGGTCCACCAGCGAAGGAAGACTTCGCCCAAGAAGAGCCAGAAGAGCCTAAACAGGGGGTCCCAAGAGACTTCATGTTGACCCAAACAGCTCAAAGAAGTGCTTTCTCTTTTCCTTCTTTATCAGTCTCCCTCATTTGCGCTTACAAGTCCGGACCGCTGCGGCCGCAGGCGCTTTTGAACCGCGCACCAGCAGGCTACCAACCATTTTATTCATGGGGGAACATGAAGATTCTGTATGCAGGTCCTGGGTGAACCAGTATCCACAGACCTTCTCAGGTTCGGTACGACTGGACCTGTCGCCATGGCGTGTCAGACGGTCAATGCTTCGTTTCAGTCATCCCAACTTGGTGCGGGTTGGTGCTGACGCTTTGGCTCGTGCTGTCTGCGCATGACACGCCTTGAACAGAAATCGTTCATCACCCCAACTCGGTGCTTGAAAATACCAAGGAGGTGATGTCAAACTCCCGGCAACCCCGCACATCCAACGTACATCCAACGAAGGCAGTTTATCCACATCGAAGCTACAATATCCAACACCGTGTCATCTACCGTGTCATCTTGTGTCATGCGTCATCCGAAACGAGTCCCGAAACGTGTCATGTATCAGATTCCTATCCTGTGCGTTCAGTTGCAGCGAAGGCCCAAGTGGCCGTTGGACTAAAGAACATATAACAAAAATAACATAATATTTCATCTAGGTCTGCTTGCTGCCGACTGCCATGTTTCAAATTCCATGCTGGAATCATTACCGAAGCCGCTGAAGATTCTCCTCTGCAATTTTAACACGATGCTCAGTTATTTTCAGAATTTTTCAGAGCAACCGAACTGACATAATGTTGCGGAGCTTTTTCTGGAGACTTGGTGAATGCCGATGATCAGTCTTGGCTGTTGCCGTTTTCTCCTCTGC